ATGGCGACATCTCTCGTTCGAATTATCGTTGTAAAACGATATTCGAAATTGTTTGTATGCTGGAAAGGATATAACAATAGATGGCGCCAAGCATTGCTTCAAATGCTAAGAAAACAATGTGGAAGAATGCGTTAAGATTTTTCGTCGGTGTGTCAATCAGCCGTTTAGCTCAGTGGCTAGAGCGTCAGGCCGCGAATGCCGAAGACGTGGGTTCGATTCCCACAGCGGCGACAATCTTTTCGCACTTTTTCTACATATTTTAATGTTCAATCTTAAGTGCAAAAATTAGCACTATAAATAATTTAAATTTGTATTGAACAGTTTTCATCAATTTATGTGTGTATTGGCTTATGGCGTAAACCTTGATTATATTCTATTATCCGCACCTTAGTATTCCAGGTCAGCACGTATTTTTTTATCTTGGAAATAGAAAAGAAATTGCGCCTATACCAAGGCTTAGCAAACTAAAATATTAACACAAAAAACACGAGCAAAGACGAAGAGTTTAAATGATAAGAGCAAGCGTTTGCTGAAGCCAAACAGTCAAATATTTCGCCGATCGGAGCTTAGGAAGAAGGCCGGCCAAACAACAGAAATTAAGTTGGGATTAAGATATGGGACGCATATCTTAATCTCAACTTAATTTACACTATACAGGGGTAACCAACTATTGTCTAAGATCCTTGTTATATTATCGGCTTATTATCATAGGCATTTTCTAAGTTGTTAAGAGGAGGTTTTAAATAAACAGTACATGTGAGGTTAAGGTTTTCTTCCAAAACAAGATCTGAATAAGGCCTTTGCTATCTTCGGTTGAATCGCCACTTATTATCGCGCATGATAACTAACTCACCAGCAAAACAAAAAGTTGGTAGTCAATACCAAACAAAACTATAAACGCGTACACTTCCTTACGCTCGTAAAACAACCGTAACCATTAGTTTGGAATATTTTAATAAAAATGTCGTCTACCAACAATAGCTTAATGACTGGTTATAAAATCGTCGCATTTTCTGGACCGGTGCGCTCCAGTAATAATTGCCCGATTCAGTTTTAATTACGAACACCGCATCTAACCAAACCTTTCTGAATTCATCTGCATACCAATTACAATTATTGATTTATAACATTAGCTTACTTAAAAGATTGCTAGTCTTGTTAATGCTTATAAAACAGCATTTTTTTATGTGAAAAGTTGCCAAGCAAGCAGGTAGTTCACCTGATGTTAAGTGAATACCACCGCCCATGGACATCTGCTACACCCGAGGAATTGCAGATGTGTTGAGAACCCTTTGAAAATTGGGCTCCGGCTACCTCACTCACCAGACGAAACGCGAATGTATTAGTCATACTTCCACTTAACGCCGGTCTTCTGTGAGGTCGTGGTACTTACCCGGACGAGCCCCTTCGTGCAACAGCCGAGGCTGCTGCGTGGCCCTACCACCGTTAATAGTGTTGATATCTATGCTATGGTGTTAGGTTTACAACACAAGTGGTAAATATCCTCAAGGTAGAAGAAAACTAGTTAAGTTTTCTGCTTCTGTTGTGACTGTGGTAGGGCCTCGCAGGGCCAGCAGTCTTCGCAGTTTCTTGAATGAGCAGGTTCGTCCGGGGAAGTATCATGACCTCAAACCCAAGACCAGCGTGAAGTGGAAGTGTTATACTTCTCTTTCGTCTTGTGAGTAAGGTAACCGGGGCCCACTTTGATAAATGTTGTCGCATCTGCAACCCTACGGTTGTTGCAGATGTCCATGGGTGGCGGTTGTCATTTAACATCAGGTCAACCGCTAGCTCGTTTGTCACGTTAACAATTTTATTATTTCCCTTTAACAACTTTACCAAAGTAATTAAATAACTAAAGTAAGCAATCTGGAAGGCGCAGGTCGTATCTGGCAGCGGTGAAAGAATTTTGTGACGTTTTTATCTACCTACATATTTTTAAGTTTGCACAAAAGTAGAGCCTAGCACTAAAACGTCAAAAAAATAAATTTCAATAGCTAAATGAAACTATGGTTACGGATTTATCGCGTTTATTTTTAAAACCCTGGTTCGAAACGTCGGGAGTTAAAACTTAGTTTCATTTAGTAATGTGTAATCGCGTAAACACAAGAAACGGTTATTCAATAGCTAAGGCGACGATATCGCTATGGATGTACCGGAAGCTCGCTCCCCGTTTTTAAAAGCGATAAGAAGCCAGATCCGCTCGCAAATATCAAACGCACTCGGTATAATTATGTCTCGCGACTTGCATCGCTATAAATAACCGCTGCCCACGCATACGGAGTTCTAATTGTGGTGTTAATTATACTACTCACAGGGCGTTGCAATTCGATACCGTGGATGTCTAGGAATCGGAATTTACGTCACCTAGATGTCTGTGAACCTATATCATATCCTTATGCTAGGAGAGACGGGAGGCGGACAAAGTTGTTGCTGAGATGCTTTTGGAGCCGATATACGATCTCGTATTGTTGGACTACAATAATGCTGAACCAGCAGTTTGTATTTAAAGCGCATTCTGGCACGAGGTATCTTTTGCTGCTTCTAAGTCGTGTGTTACCTAAGTGTTCTTGCCCAGAAACGTAACGTGGGCACGCTTTCTAGGCAATTTAGTTGTTCAAGACAAGGTACGTACGTACGTACTATATATCTCGGCTGTTCTCGCTCCCAAACGACTGGGGAAGGACGTTTGCGAGGTCTCCGCATACCACGGTCCATGGTCGACAATCATATCCATATGCGAGAATCTTTAATGGATAAGGGTAGGGTTTATTAAGCTCGTAGGTAGGTAGGGGCTATCCATCACAAGGCGCGAGAGTAGCCATAGATCGTTCATTCGGCAAAAATTTTGTATATATAGGTATAACTTGCTGATAACCGCGACTTCCGTCTGCGTTGATTATTACATTAACAAATAAATAAATACACCGTTTAATTCACTTCTCCACGTCAAGAAAACGTCGCTGTATATGTGATGCTTATAATAATCATTGTTTCATGACATTTAAATCACGATATCACAAGATTTCATTCTTATGGATAAAGGACAAATGTCTAAGAGATGAAATTTAGAAGAGTTAATTGAAATCTATACGGTAGTTTTGCGTGATGCGTTCAGAGCTCTATCATTGTGTCAACAATATAGAAATTATAAAAAAAGTGAATGTTGCACAGCTAAGTGTTTTCCCGAATTTCGTGTGTGCTTGTAAAATTGTAAACATGATAATGCTAGCCTACAGTAGCAGTAATGCCTGTTTGCAATAGGCAATGAGGACGCTCTCGTTTGCCGCGACTAAATCTCTTCATGCGTCGTCTAAGTACTCAGCAAATTAACACGTGACGTCAGACAGTCGTCCGCAAACAATTTCACGGGCGCATCCCAACGTCTAATCTTTGTCAAACACCGCCGGAGATAAACCGATGGCTCCCGCAAACACTATCTCAAGGGTGGCTCGATTAATTTCGGTATCGGTACGCCACTGTCCTTGACGGCAATTAATCGGTAGCTGTGGCCTGCGATTCCATTTACTGTTAATGCCGCGCGAGACATGAAGTTCTTTTAATCAGTAAAAACTTCGTTAAATAAAACTATTTGACGTTATAAAGTAAAAACATTAAAACGTTTATTGTTTTTATTTTTAAATTGCCAACGCTTAACGGTTGGTTATGATGGTTATGAGACAGACTGAATCGTACATTATTATGTGATATCAGTTGGTTTTCTCCATTCGAACTTTCAATCCTTCTAAAAGTCAATATTCAGTTCAAAGTAAACCAGTTCTTACTGAGAACAGATCGAAGAGAAATGGACCGCGAAGAAGCTGTTGAAATAGGTAGTAGAGTAGTGAGTGGTATGTCACTGAAACAAGTTTATCAAGTATTATAACCAAACCCGTTTAACGGTAAGGGTAAACAGAGATAAATAATATATACTTCCTAAGTTCCATTGAACTTAAAGTCCCTAAACGAGACAGGTAAAAGCCTTGTTCCGCTACTTAGGTCCCCAAACGAGACTGGTACATACGTACGAACACATATATTCCGCTACACTAGATACGTAATAAATTCCAAAAACGTCAAACTTATTGCTTCACGACACTTAGATTTGAACCGGAGACCTTCAAATCGCTAGTCCTAACTACTGGCTATCACTGACTAAATTAAATCACATAGATATTTATAGTAAAAATAAATACAATGATTTTTAGAAATCATTGTATTTATACATAATTATGCTATCACTAGCGTCCCGCCCGGCTTTGCACGAGCAGAACATACATGTACGCCATATCTTTAACAGCCATTGTTATACTTCAGCTTATTTACACAAAACCTCAACGGATTATACACCAAAACTTCCTCATGAATCACTCCGTCCATTTGTGAAAATGTATTAATATATACGTGAAGCAAAAACTTTTACGAAAATTGCGCGGACGGAACAGTATGAAATTTCCCACATTGATAGTTTATGTAAAGAAGGAGTACAGAGTGCTTATATTTTTTAAATTTACGCAAAAAACAGTACCATGTATTTTTCACACACACACACACACACACGCATATATATATATATTGTGTATTGTATTTGAGAATAGATTAATATTGTTCTAACTTAAATACTTTCGGCAGCTTTTGAGTTTACAGACAGACTAACAGACGCGGGGAGTTCTTTTTTTATTACATATGTAATGATAGCAGATTAGTTTATCATAGTATTTTGCTTAATAATGTAATTATATATTGTTATATAGATGCTTCAATTACCGCGTTTTAATAGCGATTATCAACATGATTCATATGTTGTGCCACCTAGGTTTGATGTTGGCAGAAGAAAGAAAGAAAGTAGTAATGTTGTAAATTTTCCTGCTTCTGTCTTATAAATATGGACTGTGCCCCAATAACCTCTGGTAAGAGGAGGCGTTTTCCTTGCCATGATGTCTTTCTGATCCGTTACCATAATTATGTATCTTGTGCTTATGGATTCATCCCTCTTCCAGATGTATGGTCGCTATCAACGCGACCTAAGCGAAGCGGCCAGAGAGGAAGCGAGAAGACTGAGGAGACTGAGAAAGAGAAGACGAAAAGACGACAAGCTCCGGCAAAAGGAGCTCGAGGCTACAGGCAAACACAGGCCGAGAGGGAAGGTGTTCAAAGTATTAGGTGAGAGGATTTTTATTCGCGTATTTCACTTCAGGAATAGACCTGGTGGGATGAAAAGAGATAGATATCTGTCTGCATTTCACTCACCTTTTACACTGAAATGCGACAGGTGATGAGTCTGACAATATGTAGCCGTCACGACGAAACGCTCAAGTTGAAAAATTTGAATGTTTTTATTGCACCTATCACAATTTATCTCCACGCCCCGAGCTCACTGAGAGTGCCAATAGGTGTGAAATTCGCCTATTTCAATCCTTACTTAAGGTGATTGCAATAAAGTATTAATGAATATACAGCGTGTCTTTACAATCGCGACAATAAAAAAACACATATAGAGGATCACTTTTTATAATTGTATTAAACATTTACATTGTTTAAACATCAATATTTACAGAATTATCAAATTTTCCAAAACAAAGAATTTTAGAGCACCCTTACGTATAAAACTGTAACGTAAAGTTTATATGTAAAGGTCACAAAGCATATGAATGGGTTGAATGAATTTAAAAGAGACAAAACATACTGTTAGAATGAGGGGCTTGTAATGCGACGCTGTGGAAACGAATGAAAAAGTCTCTGAATGGATGAATCAGTCAGTTGTAGTTGTATAGGATGTTATTTGTTTTTTACTTAATTAGTTTGTTTGAAAAATATTTTTTTGTTTATGGTATTTTTTAACGTTAATATTTTTTTATGATTATTGGCAAATAGCGTTAGGCGTGTGTTCATTTATTGTCGCGATGGTAACCACACGCTGTATATACATATAATTTATAAAAGAGAACGTATTTGTGTAGGTATGTTCACCGAAAACTCGAGAACAGTTAGTCCAATTGATATGAAATTTAGCACACATTTAAAGAGCGACATGACTACTCCGAAGAACATAGATACTTTAGTGCCCGATAGGTGGCGCTGGTGGCAGTGATTGTTATATTTTGAACCAACAAGTCGAATGAAACAGGGTCAACTAATATGGCTACACTGGTAACTGATACGTAACATTAGTGACATTTAGTTCAATTAATTAAATTTTGAATAATAGATCCCATTTATGTGTCTCACACTATGTATAACAAAAGTTAATTGCTTGTACGTGTTCCCGCGTTGGTAAACCGACAAGTTTGTTCGTTTCAGCTCAGGATGGCAAACGAAAAATATTGTGTACCCAAGTGCTTTAGAGTATCAAAAATCATGAACAATTAAAAAATGTTTTAACAGTCACATTATATGGTACCGCGTTTGTGCGCGTGCCCAGTGGTAAAGTTGGCAATGATGTGAAGTGTGCAACAGGCTACGTGTGGCGGCACACTTTCGCGAGGCTCGGCGAGGACTGGGTGTTCCTGGCGCTTCTGGGGATCATCATGGCCGTGCTCAACTTCGCGATGGACAGGGGCATCGCGGTCTGCAACAATGGTGAGCGGAACACCAGACCTTACTTCTCCCGCTAAAAAGTAAAGTATCAGCCTATACATGTCCCACTGCTGGGCAAAGGCCTCCTCTGTACAGGGGGTAGCAGGGCATAGTCCACCACGCGACCCCACTGCGGATTGGCGGACTTCGCATATCTACGAAATATTTTTTTTTGTTATTACTTCGAAAATATGCAGGTTTCTCCTCACGATGTTTCCTTCACCGCTGAGCACGTGATAATACGGCACTTAAAATTAATGATTTCATTTGTGCCGGCACCGGGGATCGAACTCAGGTTGCTCGAGTATATTGAATTAAATGCGAGCGCCCGGACACTGAACTATCACGGCTCCCGCTTAAAAAGGCTTAAAACTCTTTTTATGACTACGAGACGACCCGCCCCGACTTCGCGGGTGCTATGTAGATATTGAATTACTAAAATAATATGCATGTATACTACATATAAACCTTCCCCTTGAATCACTCTGTTTGTAAGTACCACATTAAAATCCGTTGCGTAGTTTAAAAGATCTAAGATTTAAAGTAATTTAACAAGTCTACAAACATCGGGAGCTACTTTGTTTTATACTATGTATTGACTAGTTGACCCCTATATGCTAACAGATGCAATTTGTACCGTAATCTATACGTAATTTGTGTACACAGGCATATCCTCTTTCTCGTCGATTTTACTCCAGGCGTTGTTACTACAGCAGCCTTTTTACAACTTTGCAACTGACATTTTAACTGTGGTAGGGCCGCGCAACAGTTTTCACTGTTGCACGAATGGCAGGTCCGTCCGGGTAATTACCACGACCTCACAGAAGACCGGCGTAAAGTAGAAGTGTTACACTTCTGCGTTTCGTCTGATGAGTGAGGTAGATGGGGCACTTTATTTAAAGGTGGCAACGCATTTGCAATCCTATGGGTGTTGCAAATGCCTGTGGGCGGAAGTGAACTTAACATCAGGTGAACCGCCAGCTCGTTTACCACGTTTTCACATAAAAAAAATGTTTAATTTGAACGACAAGGAAGAATGTTCTTTAACCACCAAACCGTGTTTGTTTTCATGCTCGCCAACTTGCGAAGAGGTAAAGAATTTTAAATTAATTTGTCTTTTTACTTGTTTTATGACATAAAACAGCCTATACTGTATTGTGGTTCCTATTAACTTACCACATCGAATTGTGTTAAAAACTGAGTTCTGTCAGTCTAAGTTCGGCCCCCATAAAGTACTTCTATCTTATTATAATTTATTTCATTGATTTGTTTTTATGTACGAAAATAGTTAAAGGAAAGTTGGTATCTTTCGTATAACATAATTTTATGCCCGTTTTCACCATCGATCCCTAACTTTAAGGGACACACAAAAAAGTAGTGTCACCTAAAGTCTGAAGCGGTGGTGAACACGAAAGTAGCACTTAAACTTTTAGGTGTCCCTTAAGTTTAGGGATCGATGGTGAAAACGGCCGTTAGTCTCTTGAGTTTTCTACACACGAGTTTGCAACCCTGCCCGTGACGGATCCGTATTCGTTGTATGTTGCAGCCCGCGTCTGGATGTACAACGACCTGGCCACCTCCACCTTCAGCCAGTACGTGGCGTGGGTCTCGCTGCCCGTCTGCCTCATACTCTTCGCGGCTGGATTCGTGCACATAGTCGCCGCCCAAAGCATCGGTGGGTACATCTGAATTACTTCACGATTTTAAGTGGACTTCGTAAATGGGGGACTGTTTCGTGGTAAGTTTAAATTGGTTATGGTGACTCCGTGGCGCAGTTGCCAAGGTATTGGCTTCGGCGTCGGGGGTCGTGGGTTCGATTCCCACACGGGACAACTATTTGTGTGATCCATAAACGGTTGTTTCGCATCTGGGTGTTTGTCCGCGTGAAATTTATGTTTGTAAAACGTCCTTACAACACAGGATAATGTTATCCTAAAGTAAGGGCAATTTTTTTTATAAAAGAAGAAAAAAAAAGAACGAGCGTCTCCTAATCATCGCCTATGTGAATTGCCTTCGGTAAGAATAGTTCTTTTCCTTCAAAACATTGCTCTTACTTTAGGATAACATTATCTTGTATTGTAAGGACAACTTTACAAACGTAAATTTCACCTGGGCAAACATCCGGATGCGAAACAATCCTCTATGGATCACACAAATATTTGTCCCGTGTGGGAATCGAACCCACGACCCGACGACAAGGCCAGCCGTTACTCGTTGATTACTAAATATTTCCCTTCTCCGTCGAGAGTTCATTTTATGTATATAGAGTAAATTTGATTTTCAGGTTCCGGGATACCGGAGATGAAAACAATCCTGCGCGGTGTGCATCTAAAAGAGTACCTCACGTTCAGAGCGCTCATTTCGAAGCTCATCGGTCTCACCGCGACCCTGGGGTCCGGTTTGCCGCTGGGTAAAGAGGTCAGTGTTTAAAAAACAATTATTGTTTCACGAAACCTTTTTACACACAAGTTCTCCAGTCGCAAACTAAGCACAACGACATTACAATGACGACATTACAATTGGTACTAGATAACTGATATGCATACTTAAACATACTTTTCTTTTGTAAATAAATACATATTATATATTATGTACAAACAATATTTTTCCACTAGTGGGAATCAAACCCACACCATCTGGCGCAAGAAATAAGTTCACTGCTGTTACTTAAATTGGTGCTCTATATGGTATATTGATCTTCCTTGATTATATAAAGCCTATAGCCTTCCTCGATAAATGGGCTATCTAACAATGAAAGAATTTTTCAAATCGGACCATTAGTTCCTGAGATTAGCGCGTTTAAGCAAACAAACGAATAAACAAACTCCTGTAGCTTTATTATATTACAAGAAGACGGGACAGACGTTGTCCTGTACACGTGACTTAAATACGACAACAACTTAAAAAAAATTGTGAATCTAAACCATTCTCGAATCGACCTGAAGACACAAAAAATTTCATTAAAATCGGTCCAGCCGTTTAGGAGGAGTTCATCGACATACGTTATATACATATACAGGGTGATTTTATAGACATATTAACATAACATATGCAGATTTTGATTCTAAATCTGAATGTGGTACGTACTTGTGACGAATATTTTTTTTTCAAAGATTATTTTTAATTTTTTCAAACATTATGGACACCTTAAGAAATTCCTCCCTTACCGAGCACTAAAACTGTTCGCTGAACGCATAATTACTAAACCGCTTATCAATAGGGTGACCACTCTTAACGGGATAAACAATGTTTGAATTGATATTTCTTGTCAAAATAAAATATTGTTTTTGAATTGCGGATTGCTCAATTAACATAATGTAAAAGTGTCGTCTAAAACATCATCCTGTATAAGTAGAGATTTGGACATTAATTGCGAACGTTTTCTTTCGTGTTTCAACACGCCTCGTGGTAGGGCCCATCCGTGCACATCGCGTCCATGGTGGCGACCCTGCTGTCTAAGCTGGTGACCCGTTTCCAAGGGATCTACATCAACGAGTCGCGCACCACTGAGATGCTGGCGGCGGCCTGCGCCGTGGGGGTGGCTTCCTGCTTCGCGGCGCCCGTCGGGGGTGAGCTTTGAGGGTGTACTTTGTGTGGAAGGGGTTGGGTAGTACGCCGACGACCGCTGTCATCTAGCAGGTGTATTGTGATTGCCCCTCACTGTGGGATGACGTTGTCCTGTGAGGATGTTTTATATACACAAACTTCAAGTGGACAAATACCCAGATCCGACAGTGTGGGAATCGAAACCACGAGCACCGTTGTCGAAGCCAATATCTTGGCAACTGCGACACTGAGTCATCTTTTTTTGTTATGTGAGAAAGTGACAAACGAGCTGGCGGTTCACCTGATGTTAAGTGATAACCGCCTGCCCATGGACATTTGCATCACAAGTATTATTGTAGATGCCTTGCCACCTCTTAATAATGTGGGCCCCGGCTACCTCACTCGCCAGACGAAAAGCGGAAGTGGAACACTTCTACTTTACGCCGGTCTTCTGTGAGGTTGCGGCACTTACCCGGATGGACCTGCCCATTCGTGCAACAGCCAAAGCTGCTGCGTGGCCCTACCACAGTAGAAATGACACACAAGTCATTGATAAATACTTATTAACACATTAATGTATTACTGTATTCGGTACTGTGCGAAGATTTCGCATTGGTTATTTCAACATGAAACCTCGTTCCAGGGGTCCTGTTCTCCATCGAGGTCACGACCACCTACTTCGCGGTGAGGAATTACTGGCGCGGCTTCTTCGCCGCCTGCTGCAGTGCCATAGTGAGTTTTTGGTTCCACCTTCTCGCCATTCTTTAGTGTTAGATGGCAAGCGAGCTGCCGGTTCGCCTGATGTTAGGTGGCAGGACATCCGCAACCTCTCGGGTGTTGCACTTAGCTGTGGCCTCGGCTGTTGCACGAATGGGCAGTTCCGTGAAGTAGAGGTGCTACACAGCGTTTTGTCCGGTGAGTGAGGTAGCCGGGGCCCACTTTATTAAAAGGCAACGCCTCTGAAACCGTATCGGTGTTGCAAATGTCAATAACATCGGGTGAACCGCCAGCTCGGTTGCCAACGTACATAAAAAAAAGGAAACAACAAATCTCAGCCCGGCTCCTTGTCAAAAGACTACGATTTGCACCACAACCCAAGCCAAACTGTATACTGTATAATGACGTATATTTGAAGAACGCAGATCCGGCGATCCTGTAACAGTTGGCAACGACAAATCTCAGCTGGGCTTCTTGTCCAAAGGCCACGATTTGGAGGAACCCCAGATGGGTAATAGTTGATATGCTCGAAGTGGTCGCTTCCAGATGTTCCGTCTGCTGTCGGTGTGGTCCGGCGCGCTGCCCACCGTGAAGCCGCTGTTCCCCACCAATCTGCCCCAGGACTTCCCCTTCGACCCGCAGGAGTTCGCGGTCTTCGTGCTCCTGGGGTAAGCGCCAGCCGAACGCTGGACGGCGTCGGAGAGCGAAAGTAAAAAGTGACAGCCTCTGTTCATGTCCCACTGCTGGGCAAAGGCCTCCACTGTACAGAGGGACTTCATATATCTTCGAAATATTTTTTTTGTTATAAAGTAAAAGTAAAGTAACAGCCTATACATGTCCCACAGCTGGGCAAAGCCGACTATATACTGAGGGTATCAGGGCATAGTCCACCACGCGGCCCCACTGCGGATTGGCGGACTTCACATATTTTCGAAATACATTTTTTTTTGTTATTATTCCGAAAATATGCAGGTTTCCTCACGATGTTTTCCTTCACCGCGGAGCACGTGATAAGTCAGCACTTAAAGTTAAAAACTTCATTGGTGCCGGCACCGGGGATCGAACTCAGGTTGCTCGAGTATATTGAATTAAAGGCGAGCGCCCGGACACTGAGCTATCACGCCTTTTTGTTATAATTTCGAAAATAATAAAATGAAATATTAGAAGTCGCTATGTAAATGAAACAGTTTTGCGCATTTTATTTTGTTTAATTTCGGTTTTTGCGCATACTGGGTTGACGTCACTACGCGATGCACATGTGATGAATAAACTTGGCGACATATCTTACGATAAATTTGATCTGCACTGCAAAATATATCTTACCATGTTGAATAGTGCATCGAATAGTGCATCGTAGAAAAAAATCAACTATCCTTCGACTTTTCAAAGACTTGATACGGGGCATATATTACGTGATTGTGTAAAAATTTTTAACAAGTTTTAACTGTTCAACTCTCCTACAAGGATCATTTGCGGTTTGCTGTCAGCGCTGTGGGTGTTCCTGCATCGGCAGTACGTACTCTTCATGAGGAACACGAAGACGCTCAGCAACTTCCTGCAGAAGAAGTTAGTCCTTTTATTTCGTTGCTTGGAGCAATTAGGATTTGAAGCTTGCACCAATAGAAGTAAAAGTAAAACCAATAGAGTTAAATAAAATTAATTTTATGGGATGTCTGTGTTAGCGTTTCGGAAGTGAGGAATAGTATTTCGATGATTTAAATCCGTCATCCATAGTGACATAACAGAGGTGATCTTTGCCCACCAGTGGGACACCGCTTTTAATAATATTAAACATGGTTAACTCTTAAGATTAGAACACGATACAATCCCATGAGCCCCTGAAAGGTTGCAAAACGTGAATTTAACACAACACAAACTCAAAACACGAGAAGCCTCGTAAAATAGCTTCATTCAACCATGTGAGTTTAACAGATTAACGCCCGGTTTCTGAAACACTAATCATCGTAGAAGTTTACTAATCAGCTGTCAAATAGCTTTTCGAATGTAATCTGAGTTGCCAAAAGGGTTGGTCAACTCTTTGAATTGATCATTCCCATCTTTCATCATTATAAGATCATTCTGATCGATTCAGAGAGTTTAACCGTCCTTTAAAACGCCATTCGACAGCTGATCAGTAAACTTCTACGATGATTTGAGAAACCGGGCGTGATTGTCGAAAAACTTTGTACGCTGGCAGTTTTCGACACCACTCGCGCTAATTTCACCACGAGGCACCGTCTATTCCATTGACCCCCGCAGCCGCTTCATCTACCCGGGGCTGATGACGCTGGCCGTGATGTCGGTGCTGTTCCCGCCGGGCGCGGGCCGCTTCATGGCCGCCGACCTGGGCAACCAGGAGCAGGTGCTCTCGCTGATGGCCAACTTCACCTGGTCGGACCAGCTCAGCGCCGAGCAGGCGGCCATCGTGGCCCACTGGCGCACGCCCGAGATGGACCACTTCGGCTGCCTGGTGGTCTACTTCGTCTCCATCGTGAGTCGACTCCCCATTTAAGTAGAAGCAATCAAAATAGTACTAGAACTTTGACAATCCATACGCAAGTGTAATGTTTATATGTTGAATAAAGATATTTGAATTAGTAAAAATATGTGTTCAGCATCGATAAATGATTATAAGCTAAGTAGTTTTCATGCAGATATTTAATTATAATCGACATTACTAAAATGTTACCACTATTTCAATATAAAATAGGCAAAAAAATCCTTCGCAACGTGTTTTTGAAAACAGTTTAGGACAATTCTAGTTTTATAATTCGAGATACAAGCATTTCTTTAAAAATAAACCGCTATCTCTGTTACGGTTTTGCACCTTTATTTTCGAGGCTGCTTTATCATCTTGGACTTAAAACTTGTATTTTTCATTTCTATTCCGTTCTTTCTTTTTAGCTTTCATTGTTTGTTTCAATGTAAACAAAGTTTAGCATCATGCAAAAAGCCGCCGACGAGGAAAAAATAATAATAAGGCAAAATTTCTTTAGACTGTATCACATGAATCTTCAACTATCTATGGGTTCGCAAATTGCAAAAGCCTTCGAGTAACTCCGCGATCAATTTTAATTAACTTAAAATAATTTTGCTACAAAACTTTTGATTTTGCTAAACAGATTATAAAATCTGTTCGATAAAAAGTGGTCGACGAGGATGGGATTCGAACCCACGCGTGCAGAGCACATTGGATTAGCAGTCCAACGCCTTAACCACTCGGCCACCTCGTCTTGTAACACTATCGCCAATAAACCGTTCTGTATTAAATAAACACGCCCATATTTATACAGCTGTATATGTAGTGTAATAAAGTACACAATAATATTTTGCACCTTCCTCTTTTTAACCGACTTCAAAAGAGAGGATTATCAGTTCGTCGGAAACTTTATTTTAATTTATGTTCACCGATGACTCAACGCCGCTGAATATCCGGGTAATTCAGCGCTACCTTGTTGAGTGCAGTCAAAAGGACCCCACTACGCCCCACCAGAAGAAGTCCCCACAAAGGTGGGGATTAGAGGCCTCCCCAGGGACACGTCCCCTGAAGAGGTGGTCGAGTACTTTAAGCAAATAGGGTTCCCGGCTACTTACTCGAGGGCGATAATGCCCAAGAGGTCGAGACCGGGAACACTCTACCATCTGAAACTCGATCACCTCAACAAGGACGAACTAAAACGTCTGTATGATGTGAACGAGGTGTTGAACATGCCAGGCATCACGATAGAGGCCTGGCATGGAAAGGGTGGTCCCGCACAATGCCACCGCTGCCAGGGGTTCGGTCACGCGTCTGCCAACTGCCACCGTCCCCTGCGCTGCGTGCGCTGCGCTGGCGAGCACATTTCAGCCGAATGCCAACGTAAGGGCGAAACGCCGAAGTGTGCCAACTGCGCAAAAGCGCACGCGGCCAATGACAGGCGTTGTGCGGTGTTCCAACGGGTGGCCAAGAGCCGCGGCATTAAACTGCCACCGCCACTACCACCGCCACCACCACCCAGACAAGCACCACACCTTCCTGAAAGGAGCATAATGCCTCTTCCCCCTCAAACTCAGGGGAGCATGGCGACAACCCCCGCAAACACTGTGAGCACGACACAGTTAGCGGCAAGCACTCACGCAACTCTCATGCCACCGGCCAACGACGCCACAAATCGTGGTGAAGTTGGCAAAAAGAAGAAGAAGAGGGGGAAGAGGAAGAAGAAGAGTACTCTCCAACCGCAATCAGCGGGCCAAGCTGTGGTGACCCCGCAGCTCACCCCCGCTTCCCAAACCACCACCACTGCTGCACAGAAAAAACGGCAGCAGCAAAAGCGGCAGGCGAATATTACCACAGCGGCAACAAATGAACCGCGTTCACACCAGCAACCGGCCCAACAGGTCCAAGGGGTAAGGGGTCCACCCACCCACCACGCCTTTGCCTCCCATTCCCGCGACCCTGCGTACGTCGCGCAAGGAATAGAGGAGGCAATTAATCAATTGATCCGGTTGGTGACAGGTATCCTAGGGGATATTCTTGTCTCAATGGCCACCGGTAATGACACCCTAACGGCGTTAACGAACGCCATTAAATCCCTGACTGCGGTACGCAATGGCGCCACAAATTAGGGCCATGTACTGGAATCCTGGAGGCATACAGCAACGGCTCCCGGAGCTAAGGATGCTGGTTCAGCAGCACAACAGCCAAGTTGTGTTGCTCGGGGAAACCAAGCTCCGCCCGGGTCAGCCGTTCCGCCTATCGAACTTCGTCGTGTACCGTCGGGATGAGATCTCCCCAGACCACGGCTATGCCTATAGAGGTACAGCCGTGTTGGTAAGACGGGACCTAGTACACGACGAAGAGGAGCTTCGCAGCTTTACAAGCACGCGCTCCATAGGAGTATACCTCCACGCGGGCGGGAAAGAGATACGTATGTTCGCTGCGTATCGCCCGCCCGGCTTGCCCTTCAACGCCAGTAACATCCGGAATATCTTTTCCGATAACACTCCTGCCATTATAGCGGGGGATCTCAACGCCAAGTATCCATCGTGGGGATAGAGAATTAAGACCCCCGCAGGCAGGAGTCCATACGAACATGCCGAGGAGGTGGGTTATGAAGTGCTGGGCCCTGACGAGCCCACACACATACCCACCATCGAAAATCACGTTCCGGATGTCCTGGACATCGTGCTCTGCCACAAAATGCCAAGCCCTGTCCAGGTAGAGGTGCTGTACGATGCGGACACTCAGCACCTCCCTGTGCTCATCGTGCTGAGTCTGGCTGCGGACTCACTGGCTCCCAGAGGCCCTAAATATAGGACCGATTGGGGGGCCTATTCGAGGGCAATGTCCACATTCAGCTTCGGTGCACCCATATCAACCGCGGATGACGTGGAGCAGGCCGCGCGCAAAATCACCTGTAAAATACAGGAAGAATTGCGCGCGGCGACCAAAGCGGTGCCGCAAGTGCAACGAAAAGACGCGCTCCCGCGTAGACTCCTCGATCGGTTGCACGAGAAGAGGGAGCTTAGGAAGCTGTGGGCCCGCACCCGCTGCCCACGAGTGAAGACAAAACTCAATCGGCTCAAGGACGAGCTGTCCGCAGCCATCAAGGCGTACAGGGGTGAGGGGTGGGAGCGCCGCATTGAGCAGGCCTCCGAGTCGCAGACCTCCCTTCACCACCTTACCCGCAGCTCAGCCGCACACCACAGCCCATCTGTCCACTCGTGGGTAGCGATGGGCGTAAGCACGCTGCAGCAAAAGACAGGGCTGACATATTGGCAGAGCACCTAGAAGAGCAATTTGTGGCCAACACATCGGCCCCAGGCGCCATTGCGTTCCACCAGGAAGTGGAGCGGCACATACAGGTGTTCCTGTTGGAGCCGATGCCACGGCTGGATGGTGGACTTTTCATCACTCCGTAGAGCCGCGAGTCATCTCGCGCTCCGCAAGGCACCCGGCACCGACGGAATCACGACGTTGGCGATAAGGCAACTACCGAAAAGGGGGTTAGTGGCGCTGTGCCGCCTGTACAATGGTGTACTGCGCACGGCGCACTTCCCCTCTGAGTGGAAAACCGGTAAGATCATCGTCCTGCCGAAACCGGGCAAGGACCGACGACTTCCGGGGAGCTACCGACCGATTACGCTACTGCCGCACGTAGCCAAATTTTTTGAACGGTTGCTGCTGCGGAGAATAGTTCCCTGCATCGAGCTACGCAGGGAACAGTTCGGTTTCCGCAGCGGCCATGCCACCACGGCGCAGCTGGCCCGAGTGCTGCACTATCTTGCGGCCCAGTACAACCGGAGCCGCATCTGTCTGGGGGTCCTTCTCGACATAGAGAAGGCCTTCGACAGAGTGTGGCACGAGGGCCTACTGCATAAGCTGCTGGAAAATACCACCACCCACCGTGCGCTCGTGCGGTTAGTAGCGTCGTTTCTCCGGGACCGGAAGTTCGTCGTACACGTCGAGGGAGCCGACTCGGCGGTACTATGTATCAAAGCCGGTGTACCACAAGGTAGTTCTCTGTCGCCACACCTGTATGCGGTGTACACGGACGACATTCCCACCTTGGAGCAAAACGCCTCCGACTGGGATGAAGACGTACTGTTGGCCCTGTACGCTGACGACAGTGCGTTCTTCACGTCTTCTCACGTCGCGGCGATTGCGGCGAGGAAAATGCAGCGCCAATTGGACCTGCTGCCCGGGCGGGTGGATCAGTGGCGGATGTCTGTCAACGTCGACAAGACGTCCGCCATATACATCCGCCGCATCAAAGACCAACCCACGCTTGAGCTGCGAGGTCAAGCAATAAACAACACGAACACCATTAGGTACCTTGGATGCCGGATAGACCGCCCGCTGTGCATGGCTCCCCAGGTCGGACACGCCGTCCGACAAGCCAGGGCAGCTCGAGCCATGCTGTACCCTATCCTGGCATCCAGGCTACCTATTAAGACCAAAATCGGCGTCTAAAAGACGTACGTCCGTTCGCGCTTGACCTACGCCGCTCCGGCGTGGTATGGTCTGCTCTCCGCCTCGCAAAGGCGCAAGCTCCTCACCACCGACCAGCCTTTGCTGGTCGAGATTACGCCCGAGTAATGGGGACATGGCCCCGAGACTCGTTCATGCAGGGCCCTTGGCCAGCTGCAATACATCATCCACCGATGACTCGAATGTTTTACCTTTTTGTTTACAAAAATGTACTTGTCCATAATGAAAAGGAATTTGGGATTTCTAATAAGACGTATTTGTTAATTTTTTTTTAATTAATTTATCAGGAACTAAATTCCTAAATCATGATGTTGTAAAATACTTATTAGAAATTAAAATTTTTATAGTGCTAATCTCTTAAAATTTAAAATACTTATGTTTATATTTGGAATTATATAAATAATTTATTATATCTAAAGAGGCGTTATAGGCTAGTTAGTGTCTGGGCCCTCGATTTAATTCAACATACATGAGCAGCCCGAGTTGAAAGCCCGATGGCGGTGCCAATGAAATTGTTAACTTTAAGTGCCGACCTATCACGTGCTCAGTGGTGAAAAGGAACATCGTGAGAAAACCTGCATATTTTCTAAGTAACAAAAATATTTCGTAAATGTTTGAAGTCGGCAAATCCGCAGTGGGGTCGCATAGTGGACTATTTTTCTGTGAGAAAGTGGCAAACTAGCTGGCGGTTGTCCTGTCGCCTATGGACATCTGCAACATCCGTAGAGTTCCTGATGCTTTGCCACATTTCAACGAAGTGGGCCCAAGCTACACTAGCCGGGGCCCACTACGTCAAAAGTTGGCAACACATCTGCAACCCTAAGGTGTTGCAAATGTCCATGAGCGGCGGTTTACACTTACCATTAGGTGAACCGCCGGCTCGTTCGCCACTTTGTCACAGCCAGAGGCCTCTGCCCTGAGATGGGCACATAGGCCGTTGCTCGTTAACAAAGGCTAAATCTCCTTGGCAGTTCTTCCTGAGCATGGTGGCGTGCACGCTGCCCGTCCCGGCCGGCATCTTCGTGCCGGCCTTCAAGATGGGCGCCTGCCTGGGCCGGCTCACGGGCGAGATCATGCACGTCCTGTGCCCGCTGGGCGTGGCCTACGGCGGCCACGTGCAGAAGATCCTGCCGGGTAGGTGCCGCTCCAGCTCGAACGTCATCATTCAATATCTTATATTTATAAAAATTTCGTGTCACGATGTATGTTAGCGATAAACTCCGAAACTAATGAACCAATTCTTATCGAATTTTGTAAGCGTTCGTAATTTGGTCCAACTTGGGAGATAGGGTAGTTTTTATCTCAATTATTGATCTCAATATTTGATATTGCAAATTACTTGTTTATTAGATGACAAACAGCTATCTGTGAGTCCCATAAGATTTTAACAGATGGCAGTGTAAGATAAATTTATCGGCTGGATTGAGTAAGTATCCGATAGATGGCGCTAGGCTAAAATAAAAACGTGTGGACCAGGTAGAATGGACGCAGACGAAGTTGCGCAGGCCAGCTAACCGAGTTAAATGAAACCAAGTTAAAACCGAACGGTTTAGTTCACAGAACGGTTTTACTGTGGTAGGGCCACGCGGCAGCCTCGGCTGTTGCACGAATGGGCAGGCCCGTCCGGGTAAGCACCATGACACCTCACCAGAAGACCGGCGTGAAGCGGAAGTATAATACTTTCGCGTTTCGTCTGGTGAGTGGTGTCCGGAGCCCAATTTTCAAAAGGTTGTCAACGCATCTAGAACCCTAGGGTGTAGCAGATATCTATGGGCGGCGGTATTCACTTAACATCAGGTGAACATCTTTTCACACATAAAAAAACAAGTTTGATTCTCAATTCCCGATTTCGAACCCTTTCCAGCGTTCACGGTCACGGGTCAGACTGGCGGTCGTAGATGTTAACTAATCAGCTGTCAAATGGCTTTTCAAATATCGTGTTAATTTCCAAAAGGATGGTTAAACTCTCTGAATTGATCAGAATGATCTTAATGATCAGGATGATGAAGATTTAAATATGTCACAAACTTGACAAATTTGAACGACAGAATTTCGAAAAAAAAATAAGGCAATTATCTTACTGTATCACATGAATCTTCAACTATCTATGGGTTCGTAAATTGCAAAAGCCTACAATAAACTCGGCGATTAATTTTAATTAACTTACAATAATTTTACTACAAAACTTTTAATTTTGCTATTATAATCTGTCCGATAAAAAGTGGTCGACGAGGATGGGATTCGAACCCACGCGTGCAGAGCACATTGGATTAGCAGTCCAACGCCTTAACCACTCGGCCACCTCGTGTCGTGGTCGTTGCGATGAATTTGTTACAGACATTAAACAATTTTTTTTTACTGTACACAATTCATACTAATATTATAAATGGGAAAGTAACTCTGTCTGTCTGGCTTTCACGCCAAAACTACCAAACCGATTTAAACGAATTTTGGTACATAGATAGTCTAGAGCCTGAGAAAGGACATAGTCTATTTTAATTGGAAAAAACTTTAAAATACATGTATATTTTTAAGAGAGGCTTCAACGCGAGTGAAGCCGCGGGCGAAAAGCTAGTAACCAATAAGATTCTGAAAATAGCATCCTCTATTCTAATTTGTAATTAAAAACAAACATGTTATCAGTTATTTAATATTTTAAGCAACATGTGATTTACTTTACATAGTTTTTATTAAAAAAAAATTATCGTCACAATATTGAAATGTGCACTTTTGATAATAATGTTGTTTATATGTAAGAAAATGGCAAACGTGCAGGCGTTTCACCTGATATTAAGTGATAACTGCAACTTGCAAATGCGTTGCCACCTTCAAATAAAGTAGGCCCCGGCTACCTCACTCACCAGACGAAACGCAGAAGTGTAACACTTCTACTTTACGCCGGTCTTCTGTGAGGTCGTGGACGAATGGGCTGGTCCATCCGGGTTAGTAACCCGGATGGACCAGCCCATTCGTGGAACAGTTAACACTGTTGCGTGGCCCTACCGCACTTAACTGAATTTAAGGGAATTAAGTGTAAAAGTTTTTATCAATGGGTACTTATAATTGATATGATCTCTATTCGGTTATTATAATTATCGTCATCCACAACTTAGATGGAGCGAGAGAGATATATAGACCTCCCTCGCACTCCCCACCGCAATACAAGGCGTATGTCATTCACCTAACCTCCAATACACCCTTGAAGGAAGTGAGCCCATTTCTGCCACTCGGTTAGAGCGAGAAGGTAATATGAGGCTGTTCTTGTCGGCAGGTGGTTACGCGACCGTCGGTGCGGCAGCTTTCACCGGCGCCGTCACCCACACCGTCTCCACCATCGTCATCGTCAGCGAAATGACAGGGCAGGTGGGAGCACAGACCATTTTATAGTGGATGCTAGATGCAACCAATATATCATCAGGTTCCACCATCGCACGTGGGGAACATTTTATAATGGGTACAAATCAAATCAATATATTTATTCAAATATACGCTTACTTATATATATAGGTTCGTAAGCTACCACCGGTTTGGAAAGCAGTTTCTGTTGAGAAGAGACCGGCAAGAAACTCAACAGTTGCTCTTTTTCAAAAGTATCAGTTTACAATATAACTAACATACAGGTATAATACAACCAACATATCATTACGTTCCACTACTGGCGTGAAGATCATTTTATAGTGGTTACAACCAATATATCATCAGGTACCACTATCGGACGAGGACACCTGCAACACCAGAGAAGTCTTGAAGACTCGGCCTTCCAGACTTTTTTTATCTGTTCGTAGTTTTAAGCACATTTAGCTTGGTTCCCTAGAGAGGGGTCCGTAGTGCTCGGTAACAGGTTCGATTCCCACTCAGGTGACGCACATCCTGCCCGTGATGGCCGCCGTGCTGGCGGCGAACGCGGTAGCCTCCCTGCTGCAGCCCTCCTGCTTCGACAGCATCATCCTCATCAAGAAGCTGCCATACCTGCCGGACCTGCTCTCCTCTGCCAGCCGTGAGTCTCTTTATACGTGAGAATGGCAAATCAGCTGGCATCGCCTGATGTTCGGTGATAACCAAAGTTGCAATTAACAAATTCTTTTTGATTTGAACTGATTTTGCTCGAATATATTGAATACACATCGAGTATATGATAATACATAAAAATATTATAGTTCTACGAGTATTATATCTATGACGACATTGCATAAGCTAATAGCAGTGGTTTTGTGTGGTGGTCTATGCCCTAATACACTCTACAGTACAGAGGAGGCCTTTGCCCAGCATACATATACGTGATTTATAGAATTTTTATTTTAAATTAAAAATCAAAAATAAACTTATTGCTAAAGCATATCATTCCAATGCGGAATATCGTCTATGTGTTATTCTCATGTATAAGGTATTGTAAAGTTTCATTAAAATCCATTAATTAGTGTTTGCGTGAAAGAGTAACAACCATCCATCCATACATACAAACTTTCGCGTTTATAATATTAGTAATAATTTGAATTTGGATGTTACTAGTACTCAATAACGTGAGGTAGTCAATAACCGGTCGTTTTTCGCGGGAAAAGGGGCCTAGATGGCCAGTTAACCTCGAAACACATTTGCAGGCATGTACGACATTTGCGTGGAGGACTTCATGGTGCGCGACGTGAAGTACATATGGAACAGGATGACCTTCCAGCAGCTCAAGGATATTCTCAAAGAGAACAAGGTAACATATCATGAAGCAGTGAGTAAAGTGTCATCACTACATAATATAAAACAAAGTCGTCCCGCTTTCTGTCTGGCCCTATGTATGCGTAGATCTTTAAAACTATGCAACGGATCTTGATGTGATTTTTTTACTAGATAGAGTGATTCAAGAAGAAGGTTTATATGTATGATACACTGCGCCCGTGCGAAGCCGGGGCGGGTCGCTAGTTATCAATAATCACCTAATATCAATCATACCCTAGACCACGGTAACGGCAAGGTAAGTCGTATGATGTAACACTACACGACCCAATTTGCATTTACCGTGTTCTACCTCGAAGCGGGTAATTTGCGTTAACCACTTGCAACACTCCCGCAGACCATAAAGAGCTTCCCGCTGGTGGACAGTCCGGCTTCGATGGTCCTGCTCGGCTCCATCCACCGCTGGGAGCTGGTGAAGGTGATCGAGAAGGCGGTGGGGCGGGAGCGGAGGCTGCAGGTGGCCGCGCTTTGGCTGCGCGAGGCCGAGCTAAGGAGGAAGCACGAGGAGGCCACCAGGGTCAGGCGTCCCTCAAGGTTCGAGGTACGCACCCGCAACCTTAACGCTAAAGTATTTTATGGCGCTAGCCATAGAACGTTCAAAGGCACGCAAAAGTGAGCTCTGTCAGTCATGTTATATGCCAAATAGAAACCTTACACATTTGCGCACAATTTTGCTCGCAAAATTGTGCTACTCGTGTATATTAACAACATTATCATATCTCGTACATTATTCACATCTTGCCTTTATAGTACCTAAGTTTAGCAGGCACAATATCTGAATCATGCTTTAGACTGGGTTTCTTGTAACCAAAATAGATTAATGACTCGGCGGTGCAGTTGCCAAGGTATTGGCTTCGGCGTCGGGGGTCGTGGGTTCGATCCCCACACGGGACAGCTATTTGTGTAACCCACAGATAATTGTTTCGCCTCTCGGTTATTTGTCTACGTAAAATTTATGTTTGTATAAAAAACGTCTTTATAACACAGGATAGTGTAATCGTAAAGTAAGGGCCATGTTATTAAAAAAAATATTTAGGTCAGGACCAATTATCACACAAATACTCCATTACAATGATACTTTATATTAACTTTTAACACTACATATTTAAGCTGACATAAAAAGTTATTTAAATACTGTCAGTCTCCAGAGTGTTTCGTGGGATGGATCTGAAAGAAAACAAAATATCAATATAAGTAAACTAAAGCAATTCTGTTGGTTCTGTCGCAGGTGACTCCGGCGCCGGATATGCTGCAGGTGCCCGGCAGCGGCATGACCAGGGGCTCGTCGCTCACCACCAAGGACCAGGGCGGGCTGATTCCAGGTGAGTCCCCGTCGCCAGGCTTGAGCCTGGACGATGTCAGCTGCTTCGTTTCTTACACCAGACGGAGAGACTGGATTTATTTATGGAAGTCCTTTGGACCTGCCTTTTTAGCTTTTGGCTGGAAGGATTTCTATAATAAAATAACTACAAAAAACAAAAATCGTAATTCTTACAGGAGACAGGGCAATTACACTTAAACCTCCTTTAAACTTTGCCCGGAAGACTTTCTACAATAAAAAAAAACGAATAACTATTGCTTTGAATATACTATTCATCTTCAGACTTTTTTTTGCTGTATTTTTTATTATATTAGGTTAGCTTTTCCCTAAATTCATAATGCATCAAAGATGTAGAAGGTTTTTCATAATTGCATCAGACCTGTACCTGCATCACGTGCCATAATATTGGAGAGACGCTAAATAAACAACACAATCTAAATTTTTACGTTCAAAACAAAATTACCCATATGGCCAGACGGTTTGCGGAGGCGTTACCAACCGTTCAAATTTGGGAGCCGTTTACCTCACTCACCAGCAGTAGAACACGTAAATCCACCACCGACCGAAGCTAGAGCCCACCTGGCTGGACTCGCTACTCAGTTAATCCCTCGGTGTTCAGCCCCCGGGCAGCTGTTCCGGCCGAAGTCGATCCTGAAGAAGACCAACTCGTTCACGCTCAGCCGCGGGCTGGTGGGGCCCACCTCGCCCCACACGCCCCTCACGCCCCTCACGCCCCAGCCCTCGGTCTACACCACCGTCACCGGCGCGGAGACCAGGTTTGGGCGCTCGCCTTTAATTCAATATACTCGAGCAACCCGAGTTCGATCCCCGGTGCCGGCACCGATGAAGTTTTTAACTTTAAGTGCTGACTTATCGCGTGCTCCGCGGTGAAGGAAAACATCGTGAGGAAACCTTCATATTTTCGAAATAATAAAAGAAAAAACAACAAACAATAACAACTTTTTGACGTTTACCAATAATTCCAAGTTAAATACACCGTTATCAATTTGCATTTAATGTATTTACGCTAAAGAATTATAACTTCTCACGTGCGTACACACATACTTTTTTTTATTTTTAGGTAGTAATAGCTAACTACTACTATAATAATTTAATTTACACATTTTAATTTATATACTTATAGTTCAGATACATACAAACTATATATAACATACTATGTAAGGGCGTCATCGCTGTAATACTTATTATAAGCATTTTTATACATGTGTTAACGTTTACGCGTGATTGAAGTAAAACTTTCACTGTTTTGGCAAATATTGCTTTTGTAACCGTTAATACCATCCGGAAAAAGAAGTTTTACTTTAAAAACTTTTTACGAGCTTTCAAACTAAATTAAATTTACAATATTACTTACCTCTATCCTCAATTTGTTAACATACAAATAGGCTTCCCCAAGGTGCTACACTAGTTCCTGTGAAAATGGACTCCAAGGCAGACGGCGTCAGTTCGTAAATTTACTGTTGACTCTTGAATCTTGGCTTACCTTGACGCCTGGTTTTTCTGTTAGGAGGTAGCAGGGGGGCCCGGCTTACCTCTCACCAGACGGACGAAGAATAATACCACTTTACGTGGAAACCGCAGCACGGACCTTTTTTTATGAAAACTCGCCAAGCGAGCAGGCGGGCCATCTGATGTTAAGTGATACCCGCTGCCCATTGATATTTGCAACACCCGTAGCGCAGCCGCCATTTAATAAAGTGGGCCCCGACCACCTCACTCACCAGACGAAACTTGGAATTGTAACACTTCCACTTCACGCCGCTCTTCTGTGAGGACGTGGCACTTACTCGGACTGCCGATTCGTGCCACAGCGGAAGCCGCCACTGCCACACTTGCGAAGCCAGCTAACGGCAGTTCCTCCCCTTCAGGATCCGCGCGGCGTTCGAGGCCATCTTCAAGCGCTCCACGCTGCTGCAGGACGTGGAGGGCGGGCTGGGCGAGGGCGCCCCTCGGGAGCCCCTGCCGCGCAGCCCCTCCATCAACAAGAAGGTGCAGCTGGTAAGCCCGCCGCTGCCAGTGTTGCCAACTCTTCGAAAAAAAAATAACTCCTGAAGCAATTCGAAAACCCAGCAAAATCAACTGAAATTCACAAAACTCTAACCAATAACGAAACCTTAAATATTTCTCATTGAATTTACCTCGAAAAAGCTTTCGTTGTAAATTTTTTTTCTTCCTAGATTTAGGAAGAAAGTCCTTGAAGTTTGGCTTCCGGCTCACCGAGCTGTCGTCCCAACGTATACAGCGTGTCGTTACCATCGCGACAATAAATGAACACGCATATAGGGGATAACTTTTTAAAGTTGTATTAAACATTTAAATTCTTTAAACATCAATATTTACAAAGTTATTAAATTTTCCAAAATAAAGAATTTTAGAACATCCTTACCTATAAAAGCGTAACGTAAAGTTCATTTGTAAAGGTCACAAAGCATATGAATGGGTTGAATGAATTTAAAAGAGATAAAACATACTGTTAGAAGGAGAGGCTTGTAATACGACGCTGTGACGCGAGTTGTATAGGATGATACAAATTTTGTTTCTTTTTTACTTAATTAGTTTGTTTGAAAAATATTTTTTTCTAATTATGGATTTTGTTTAACGTTAATATTTTTTAATGATTATTGGCAAGTAGCGTTAGACTTGTGTTCACTTATTGTCGCGATGGTAAAGACGCTGTATACGCCTATTCCTGCCCTAATAGTGGGCAAAGTTTACTGGAGTTCCTTTAAACGAAAGTGGCCTCTGCTGTGTGTTGTTTCATGTCTTATGTCTTACTTGAAGTGAAAGCAACAGTTCCGTATGTTCAAATATTTTATATTACTCATAGTCGTAACTGTATTAAAATTTGTTGATTAATAATTAAAATGTTTGCGTTAGAATTTGACTTCTAATGTGACATTCCATAACTCCCTCACTATATCCCTTTGTGCGACAGTGACAACGCTCCATAAATCGTAATTAGCCGATAATCTTTTTCCAAAAGCGGATGTTCAGTGTTAATCGCCTTTATTATACTAGTGTCGTTTAGAGATTTCACCATCAGTGGGGCCGTTATGCCCCCTGTACAGAGGAGTCCTTTTGCTCAACAGTGGGACATGTTTAGGCCGTTAATGTTTTTACGTATGCGAAACCTTTGCCGTCCGCAGCCGCGCGAACGGGTCTGCGACATGTCGCCGGAAGACCAGAAGGCGTGGGAGCAGCTGGAGATGGCCAAGGAGATAGACTTCGACCGCATGCTGCAGATCGCCAGGAAGAGGGATATGGTGCGTGGCCTCCGCTCCAATTTGACATTCACATGCCATGGTTAAGGCTCATCAAGCTTAGTTCGTTTCAAGTTGTCACGAATTTAAACGATATTATTATAATTGCGATTTCTTTCTGAACTTCTGAATCTTCATTAATATGGACCACAGAATGGTAGATAATCATAAGTATAATTTTATTTTAACCAAATATCAACAAAAACATTTTATTAAAATATGTAGAAAAAGTGCGAAAAGATTGTCGCCGCTGTGGGAATCGAACCCACGTCTTCGGCATTCGCGGGCTGACGCTCTAGCCACTGAGCTAAACGGCCGATTGCCACACCGACGTCACACAAATATTAACGTCTTTTTCTACATTGTTTTCTTAGCATATGAAGCAATGCTTGTCACATCTATTGTTATATAGTCAGTGTGGCAATCAGCCGTTTAGCTCAGTGGCTAGAGCGTCAGCCCGCGAATGCCGAAGACGTGGGTTCGATTCCCACAGCGGCGACAATCTTTTCGCACTTTTTCTACATATTTTACTGTTCAATCTTAGTGCAAAGATTAGCACTAAAAACAATTTAAATTTGTAAAAAACATTTTAGTATATAATCGTTACAACATGCTCAAAGTTCTAAGAAGTTGCTATTCAGTAAACAATTACGGATAGCGATTTGGACTTCGTGTCTTTAGCGCAATTCGCGAGTTTCTTGTTTCGCGAATTTCTCAACGTGCAAAAATAACTTTTTGATACACAACCTCCTTAAGGTAAGCCTTTCGCTATGCACGCTAACCACGATTATTTTTATTTTAAAAATGGACAATGAGCCGTCGGTTCATCATCAGCCATTGTTGTCACATCTCACACATCTACAATCAATGTATATGTCCATGGGCGGCGGTGATCGCTTAACATCAGGTGAAAACGCGTGCTCGCTTGCTAACTTTTCACGTAAAGAAGGTTCATCACAAAAATTAAAGGTCCCTTTAAAGAATTAAAGGTCCCTTTCAAAAATTAAAGGTCCCTTTAAAGAATTAAAGGTCCCTTTCAAAAATTAAAGGTCCCTTTAAAAAATTAAAGGTCCCTTTCAAAAATTAAAGGTCCCTTTAAAGAATTAAAGATCCTTTTAAAGAATTAAAGATCCCTTTCAAAAATTGAAGGTCCCTTTAAAGAATTAAAGGTCCCTTTCAAAAATTAAAGGTCCCTTTCAAATATTAACCTCATTCCAGCATCCGGACGACGGTGACTACGAGGATGAGCAGCTGTACATCTGCCACATAGATCCAGCGCCCTTCCAGCTGGTCGAGAGGACCTCACTGCTAAAGGTAAGCTTTTGTTAAGTCTTTAAACATGAATAGATAAAAGAAATAAAATAAAATCCTTTATTTGACCAAGCTGCATTTCATCATAGTTGAAAAATTATTATACAGGGAGTCTTTTTGAGAAGTGCCCAAATTTACACAGGAGGTTCAGACTCGGTAGTAAAATCGTTTATTGAAATAAAAACAAAGTATTTTTTTCCAAAAAAAAAAAATGCCTGTTCTTTTAAAATGTTCTTTTTTTTTTTTCTCTTTATTGTATCTAGGGACTTTTACACAAATATGCATATGTCAGTCCCATTGTACCTTATAACTAACATGTTCACAGAATGAAAAATTAATTTCTAAGATTACTCATTGTCAAGGAAACGCAATTGTACAAATTTATATAAATAAAAAGCTGCCTTAGAGCTAGGTTTAGACAAAATATGGTGAAAATACCTACATCGAATAAATTTAATTTTAATAATTTGATTAAGTAATCACGGGCTAATTTATACCTCAAACATTCTGTTAATATATGATTGATATCTTCATACATTCCACAAGTTTCACAATTAGGTGAACTACTTTTTCTCATTATATAGCTAAACTTGTTCAGTGGCATGTGCCCTGATCTCAGTCTAAGAGCTATAACTAAAAGTTTTCTACTATATCTACTACTGTAGAACCATGGCACTTGCGGTGGTACAGGCACAATTGTTTTGTACCAAATTCCTTTATCCCTAGATCTTAAATCGAAGTACTCTTTCCACAGTGTGTGGCACTTTTTTTTGTACTTTGGTAACAATTCTGCATAGTATGGCATTATCGTTAGCGGTTTTCCTTCAGATATCCCTAATTTAGCCAAACGATCTGCCTCATCGTTTCCTTTTAAGCCTATATGTGATGGAACCCATTGCAATTTGAGATTAAAGCCCCTGTTCATTAAACTATAAATTTTTCCTAAGATATCATACGCTATCGATGCACCTCTATGTCCAGAGGCGCATCGAGCAATATGATACAAGGCGCTTTTACTATCGACACAAATCAGTATATCAGTTCTGTCTATTGTACGACAATGCTTCCGAAATTGCAATGAGTTCCAGGTACATAACTGAAATATGGGTAATATTAATTTTAAAACTACAAGTGATGTTGCAACCTAGTTTTAAGGGATCATAGAAAGCTGCACCGCAACCATCCATATTCTTTGACCCATCAGTATAAATAGTATAGTAATTTTTATATTCTTCATGCAGTTCCTTTAACACTTCTACTTTTAAAAAGCTGTTAAAATATTCCTTTTTTGATTTATCTATGGATTTTAAGTTACATTTATATAACATTCTGCATATTAATATTAGTTATCCATGTATCTAATCCGAACATTTCCAAATATGGAGAGGATTTTATATTTTCAGACATAATGGTCTCCAACTCTTCGACAAGTAAGGGGATTTTTTTATTTGACCAATAGCTATTGGTTTTAAGATCTTTTAGTTCTAATAAAACGTTTATACAAGTCTTTTTGGTCCATGAACGTGCCTTTATACAATATTTCATAGCCAATAATTTTCTTCTCAAATGCAGTGGAATTACACAAAGTTCGCATTCCATAACGTGTATGGGTGTGGTCCTTATAAATCCTCCTATTACTCTAAGTGCTTGATTTTGAATTTTGTCTAACTTGAAAAGGTTAGTTTTTTGCACTATTGCCATATAAAAAGCACCCATAATCCAATTTACTTCTTATGGTAGCAATAAAAATTCTGCGTAGGTGAATTTGATGCAAGCCCCAATAAGTGTGAGTGAGAGTTTTAAGTAAGTTAATAGTCCTTTGTGTTTTTATAATTAAGTCGTTAATGTGTTTAGCCCAACGTAATGATTTATCTAGCCAAACACCCAAATACTTATAACATTCTACAGAATCAAGTGTAGTATTATTCTCCACTGAGAGGTTTAAATGCGTTCCTCGACCACCTTTACTAAAAATACAATATTTAGATTTGTTAACTGATAACTCTAAACCTAAATCATCCAAAAGAGCAATAAAAAACATTTAAAGAGTTTTGAATCTTATTAAAACTGTCTGAAATATATTTGCTACTTGTATATATTACGAAATCATCAGCGTATTGACTTATGCTAGTATTAACTAAATTTTTGCAGATTTTGTAAGTGGCAATATTGAATAAAAAGGGGGAAAGGGGATCCCCTTGTGCTAGTCCTTTTCTAGCATATCTTATTAACTCTTCATCCCCTGTTACTTCATTCATAACAAACAGTCGGCGCTCAGTAAGAAAGCTCCATAAATACGTGCATATAAGCTTACCAATTTGCAGATTATCAAGAATCTCTACTAATTTATCAATTAATATATTATAGTATGCACTTTTGATATCTAAGAAGCAAGCTAGAGTAGCATGGCCCTTCGTGAAACCTATCTGAATCTGAGTCACTAGTCGAGTTAGACAATCAAGGCAAGACTGACCTCTCCTGAAGCCTGTAGAAAAAGGCGACAAGATTTGAAATTTCTCCACGTACCATTCGAGTCTTTTAGCAACCATAGCATGAAAAACCTTACATACGCAAGACATTAAGGATATTGGTCTTGGTTTATTAGTAGAATTTAAATCATTTTGCTTAGGAATTGGTATAACTTTTACATGTCGCCATTGTACTGGTATTGTGCTAGTTTTAAGAATTATGTTATAAATTTTAAGTAAATATAACTTTCCTATCATTGGCAAATGAAAAATCATTGAATAAGTTATTCCATCTACACCTGGGGCAGTATCCTGCTTTTTTAAGCAATTACACAATTCCTGTATTGTAAATTCAGACTCTAAAAGCTTATTTTCTGATAGAAATATTGGTGACAATGGACTTACGAAGGCCGGTGCTAAATCATATAACATTTCCTTCTTTAACTCTAGTGAAAAGGACGACGCAGAATGCTTATAACCTTTCAACCATCGCAACTTATGCCACATATCTGTGGTTGACCTAGAATGATCAAAGCTGCTACAATATTTCTTCCAGTTCTCTGATCTAGCATTTTTAATAGCTTTCCTTGCCTTCAATGTCTTCTCTTGAAGAATCCATAAATTCAAAGGCGACGGATTCCTTCTAAACTTACTTAATGCTAAACGACGTTGTCCCATCAATTTGGAAATATCAGGATTCCAATAGCTTTTAGGTTTAAATTTGCTATTTGGCGCTGTACAGGTCCTAACCATGGGTATGGTTCTGTCGGCAGCCCTGTTTATGTGTTGGATAAACATATCATATAAATTTTGAATATTATCTACTTCCCTTGGCAAAGATGTTAAATATTGTTCAAGGTAGCTTCTGTACTTATCCCAATTGGCAAGTTTAAAATTACGTTTTTTTACTAGCTCAATCGGTTCTCCGTAATTAATTATGAATTTAATGAATAAGTGGTCGCTTCCTAAATTTTCATTCATAACTCTCCATTGAAAATTCACCGAAATATCGTGAGACACAAAAGTTATATCCGGGGAAGATCTTTGTAAATGGTTATTAACTAATTTTAATCTCGTAGGTTGTCCATCATTAAGACAGGAGAATCCATACTCTAAAGCTGCATCATAGATTTTATTACCTCTGGAATCATTTTTATATGACCAATTGGTATGGTGGGCATTGAGGTCTCCAGCAATAATAGACTTGTTTCTGAATCTGGCGAATATGTTATCCCAATCCACCTGTGTTGTTATAATAGAACTAGGGCAATAAACTAATGTGATGTAGTTTATGTATTTGCAATTGAGAAGTTTGATACATAATAGCTCAATACCTAAGTTGTTCACATTAACATTTAACTTTTGAATTTTGATTGACTTGTGTGCTATAATTGCAACTCCGCCGTATGAGTCTTCCCTGTCTTGTCTAAAGATATTATATTGAGGCATATTTAAATTTGACCCCGACTCCAGCCAAGTTTCACTAAACAGAGCAATGTGTATCTTTTCTCGCTCTAATAATAACATAAAATCGTTAAGTTTAGGTCGCAAACTCTGTGCATTCCACTGTATTATGTTATCATTTATGTCTTTTATGGAACTATCCATCTTTTAATATTGAAAAAACTTTAGTAAATATATCGCCTGTCTTAAATAATTTCACAACATAAGAAATAAATTCCTCAAAAACGTAAGTACAAATGAGCTTCATTTTAACTTCTAAACTACATTCTAATAACAATATTTCATTTAATTTTTGTAATAATTTATCAAAGTTAATCTTGCTATCTGATATTTTATTTCTATTACTTTGAGTCTGCATGTCTTCTTGTTGTACCTGTTCATTTTCAATGTGACTGGTATAATTATTATTTTGCAAGTGATCGCTTTTTTTTTTTTGGACTTCTTTTTCGTTTTTTTGGCCCAAAATTGTAGACTGCACGGATTCCTCTGTGCTTCTTTCTCCTTTGTCCTCATTTTCCCTCCCATGAACTGCAGTAGAGTCAATATATATCTGAGGCTGAGTTAATAGAGCGTCCCTATATGTTGTTTTACTAATTGGATGAGTATTCTTCGTAGTGTTATCAATTTCACGCTCAGCATCATAAAGTTTTCGTTGAGTTTTGTCGTTATTCAAATATAAAAATAATGCTCTCCTGTAGGTACAATTGCTTTCACACATAATTTTTCTTATTTCCTTTTCTTTTTAAACATTGGACATGATTTATCCAATGCCATGTGAGATCCTTTGCAATTGATACACTTAAAATTATTTGCCTCGCAATTTATATGGTTGTCTCCACATTTTGGGCACCGTATCACCTTTGTTGGACATGCTTTAACCAAATGCCCAAATCGCCAACACCCAGAACACTGTGTTACAGGAAACGTATATGGTTCTACTTTAAACCGACACCCATATATAAGTACATACGGTGGTAGAACCGAACTTTTAAAACAAATACGAACAGTTTCACTGTCAACCCATTCTCTTAAATTATTTAGTCTTTTTAATCTCCTTACAGAGATTATCTCGCTATCGCATACTAAATTATTATGTATTTCATCCATCTCAGTATTTAAATCTACTTGTTTTATTACTCCATATGACAAACTGACTTCATCAACAAACTGGCACCTGTATCCTAATTCTTTAAGTTTTAAGCAATTAATTAATTTGACGGCATTCTCCCTGTCTTAAAATTCTATTATAGCTTTATATGCATTTTTAAATTGTACCTTCTTTACATTAATAATATCTTCTGAAATTAATAATCTGGCCATACCAAATTGTTTGGGTAAACTTTCCTTTCCCGTTATGCTAACTAGGTTAACTCGCTGTATATTTTGTTCTTTATTCATTATACTATGAGTCAACCATTGTTTATCTCGTCTCCTTTTTTCCTTTCTTACAGTGATAAAGCCATCGTCTGCTTCAAAAATTTCCTCACTATCATCCCGGAATCTTTTTTCAGGGCCTTTTGGAACCTCTGGTATCACTCTTTGTCCACTTATGGACGCTTGTTGCTCGTGTTCTTGCACTATTTCCTCTTCCATTATATCACTTTCACTTAAAACTTCACCACTTAACACATTATCCATATTCGGTTAACATTTGACATTTATGTGGTTAGAAAGAGATATTTCTTTATGACAAGTCACAACGAAACTTAACTATTAAATTGACACGTGCGTTCACGTCTCGCACGAAACTCAAAATGCCGTTCTATTCCCTAAAAAAAAACTGAACGTGTTGACAATGTGGTAGTCATTCATAAATACCTAAATTTTACTGTACATGAACTTGTGTGCGTGTTAGTTATGAATGATCGCGCGTAAAATAAACGACTGCGCATAAATCACACACTTTTTGAGATAAGTTCAAATGAATGTAATTAATTACTTACGAATGATTTTAAATATTTATCATTTTTTATATAACATTATTTATGTCTAGAATTTAATAAAAAAAAAAATGGATACACTTAGGAAAGCCACCCTGTATATGACTCAAAAATGGCTAGTTATGCATACTAAAAACTCTTATTGTTTTAATACTAAATAAATTATTTCTAGTAACCTTAGTAATATACAATAAGCTAGGAGGTCCCTAGGTTGGATAAAGGCCTCTTTCAAAGATGCTCACTCTATTTATTTTTGATCTTTTAACGGTGGTAGGGCCACGCGGCAGCCTCGGCTGTTGCACGAATGGGCAGGTCCGTCCGGGTAAGTACCACGACCTCACAGAAGACCAGCCTAAAGTGGAAGTATGACAAATACTTTCGCGTTTCGTCTGGTGAGTGAGGTGGCCGGAGCCCAATTTCCAAAAGGTTGTCAACGCATCTGTAACCCTCGATTGTAGCAGATGTCCATGGGCGGCGGTATTCACTTAACATCAGGTGAACCGTCTGCTCGCTTGGCAACTTTGACATAAAAAAAATACACATAGTGTTATTTAAAATGTATAATAACAACCATTTCACGGCATATTCTTACCCATCATTGTCTAGTTTCACATTCAGCAGTGGACTCGATAATGCCGAAATGACGGTTGAATATTAATATGCAAAATTGCCGTTTCCATTTAATTTCAGGTACACTCGTTGTTCTCCACGCTGGGAGTGAGCAGGGCGTACGTGACGGCCATCGGCCGTTTGATCGGCGTCGTATCCCTCAAAGAGGTATGAGAGTGTGTGGTTTTCTGCACAAATTTACAAGGATTTTTTCTATGTTGAACGTTGGCAGTACCTTACTTACCTTATCATTAGCGATGACGTTATATGATATGTTTTCTGCACAAATTTACAAGGATTTTTTCTATGTTGAACGTTGGCAGTACCTTACTTACCTTATCATTAACGATGACGTATATGGACAGTTAAAACAAGGGATGCGGTTGCCAGCTGTTTATAAACTGTGCTCTAGTGTTTTCTCCAAACGCACAAAAGAAGAAATTAGACATGAAACATTCAAAATATGTTTATTCATAGCTTGCGGTAGCGCGTTCTTATAAAACTTCGAATTTTACATAATAATTAGTAAGTAAGTAAGCTACTTGAGCTTTTCTCTTGTAAAAGAAGAGAACGGCATGAAACTTAACAGTTGCTATTTTTTTTAAATATCACGTTACAATGTAACTTAGGTATAATATTTTTATGATAGCCTACGTACATATTACATAATAAAGTATAAGAAACATATCTTGTATTGCATCGGAAGCTGAGTCAAGGCACATAATGTTTTCCTTTTCTTCTTATTTTTACTTTTACTTTTCAATAGCTTCGTCTTTTGTTTTGAAATTTAATATTGCAGCAATTTGATCAAGCATGTAGTGTTCGTATATTTTTGGCGGACGCTATGTATCTATAAGTTGCCCTTGTTCTGTTTACAAATCTTTATATATATATAATTTTTCTGTACGTGTGTATGTCACCGAACTCTTTCCAAAAGGCTGGACAGATTTTAATTTTTTTTTATTTATAAGCTGTCGGATTTAAGTCGCGTGTGCAGGACGTCTGTTGGGTCCGCTAGTTAGATTATAAATAACTATCTGACGCTCGCGACTAGGGCTGCGTTGAATAGGCTGAAGGCGTAACATTCAGACAGATATACATAAAAATATGTATATAAATTATAGCATACGCGTTATTCTGGTGTATAAGCTATATTATTGTAAAATTTAATTAGAATCCATTGAGTAGTGTTTGCGTGAAAGAGTAACAAACATCCATACATACATACAAACTTTCGTATAGTATCGTAAGGATTAGTAAGGAAGCGCGTGTGTAAACAGCTGCGCAAAGCCATCGAGGACGTGAACTCCGGCGCCCTGACGGTGAGCAGCCGCCCGCAGCCGCCCACCACGCCGCCGCCGCCCCTCATCCGCGTCACCACCACCACCGCCGCCACCACCACCACCACCACCACGCAGCCCGCGCCGCCCAGCGACAGCGAGACGGCGCGCCTCACCACCACCTGACCGTCCGGTGAGTCCACCGCACATTCCACCACCAATCGCCCCACCACCTGACTATGCTTTTTCCTACGTGAGAAAGTGGCACGAGCTGACTATCCACTGTTTAGTGTTAACGCATCTGGGTTTCGCCGCTGCGGGAATAGAACTCACGCCAAGCGCTTTAACCACTAATTGCCGTTTAGCTAAGTGGTTAAAGCGCCGTCGGAAATCTCAAAGTCCTTCTATCTACATTGTTTTTTTAACATTACTAGCATCTATTGTTGTTATGTCCTTGTCAGACGCAAACAACTCAATATATCGTTTTACAACGATAATTCGAACTAGATTAAAATAAAAAAAAATCACCACTTCAAATTCTCACCTTCCAGATCACTGCCATCGAGTGAAGATGACAGCATCCGGCGGATTTGAACAATAAGTTCATCATCGTCTATACAACAAGACATGATACCGACGCAATATGGTTGTATTACAATGTCCGGTGCTTTTCAGTGTCCAAAAGTCACAAATAACTATTATGTGATCGCTTTTGTCGTTAGAAATAATTTATTTATGTTTAATTTGTAAGTTAAAGTCTCAAGGTAGCAGCTGAATAGGTTTTAGTTCAATTTTGCTTTTACAGCTTGCGGTTTCTTGTTAAAAGTCGTCCATAAAGTGACAACAAACAATACATTATCTGTGTTATTTTTAGTACAAGTATGTACACTTTTAATATAAAAATATAATAAATACATTTGGGAGAAACTGACGTTTCTTCTAAAGTGTTTTGCGTTTACAATATTCCAATATTAAGTATATGCTTATATTTCGATGTCTGTTGTTAATATTCGAAGCTATTAACAAAGTTATTAATGAACCAAAACTTTCGCCTCCAAGGCATAATATGTGATCGTCGATAGCATTCCAAAAAATTTGATTTGTAGAGCTAGAATTGATGTTGCTTAAATTTGTATCTTGGGACCAAGTGATTTGGGTCGCAATTCCATCGAAGGGTAAGCTCGATTGAGCTAAGGTTTATTAAATTCAAGTTGTCTTAAGACTGACGTAAAATTTGATTGCTAATTCATTCCTACATTAATTCCTACCCAAATAGGCAACTCCTGAATTGATTAAATTAATAATTATATAAATATCAAATAAGCAACCTTTGAGCAGCCTTAAATAATTTTTATACATTAATGTTTAATCTATTAGTTAGGATGTGAATTTTGATCCATTGTTTGGTATTTAATATCAAAAATGGAAAGGGTGTTGACTTGAAAAGTGTATTTGCGGATCTCATTGCAATATTTTAGAACTCGTTTTGGGTGGACTCACCCGCAGAGAAAGGTCCAAAAATTCATTAGCCCTAAATAAAAAAGACCACGCAATTCTAGACCTTAATAACAATGAATACGTAACATTTGAGATTTCAAAACCAACAGAGGTTTAATATACTATACATAATCGTGATAGCAAGTTGTGATAAAAAGTAACAGTTTTTTTTTTTTATTGTAACCATAATCTAACCAAAAAATGTGTGATATAAACTTTCGTTCAGTTAATTATTGTCGAAGTTATCAAAATTAGACGATATAAATAGTGTAGGTAATAGATAGACAAAATAGTCATCTTGATGTTGTAGAAAAAGTGCGACTTTATGCGATATATCAACGAATATGACGGCCCTAGAGAGAGAATGCTGGGTGCATTTCCTATAATGGATGAATAAGTTTGTGTCAATTTGCAAAGGCCCTACATAGAGTCAAATTATTTGAACCGAATAAAAATCCACTCCTGTGTATTCCTAGTCACAAAAATAATCTAAAATTTTATAATCGTACGATTTATGAGTTGGGACTACCACAAGGTACTATCTTGGTACCATCATATTTCACCTCTCAATTTATACCTTCTCAACATTTAAAAGTCTAGTACAAGGCAAAAGTGTTTGTATCAGTCAACTATAAATTGTCATATGTCTACAAATGCAAAGGTAATTATTAATTTATTTACAGTTTTCGTTCTTATTGAAAGAAATCTTATATTCCACTATGGTGATTCGTTCAAGTGTAAACGCCTTTAAATTAGAAGAAATCCAGGATTCAGTAAAAAAGGTGTAGCCTTAGGTTTTAATTTATGTTTAAGATAATTGTGTTGTCAGTTTGACGTCAGTTGCATTTTTATTGTGATCTGTTGCTTTTTGGTTAGTAAATGTGTTGCGCGTTGACCGATGTTGTTTTATTCTCTTATCCCCATTATTTGACGACGACCTACGACGGCCTATTAAATATATATACTGCTTAATTATTCTACTTTCTCAAAATAAATAACACGTGTACTTTAGATGTGAAGTATGGTAGGGCCACGCAGCAGCCTCGGCTGTTGCACGAATGGGCAGGCTCATCCGGGTTGGTACCACGACCTCACAGAAGACCGGCGTGAAGTGCAAGTGTCATACTTCTGGGTTTCGTCTGGTGAGTGAGGTAGACGGGGCCCACTTTATCAAAAAGAGGTAACGCATCGGAAACCCTACAGATGTTGTCCACATATCCATGAGCTACGGTTATCAGTTAGCATCAAGTGAACCGCCGGCTCTCTTGCCACCTTCTCAGATAAAGAAATGAGCAATCAATAAAACAAAACTTAAAAATAGAATGAAGAATGAATTATTTTATTCGTCACTAAACTCTATAATACTTTACAGAATTATTATACAATTAAAATGAACTAGATACAATTCGGTCATCACAACACCGCATGCCCTTTTATCTTAAGTACATAGATCAACTTGGAAATACGCTAAATGTTATTCGAAGGAAATATATACAATATTATCAGTATGTTATCTAACATTAATGTCACATTATACTATTTTATTATTTTTACGGTTACAGACAAATCAAGGACCGTCTTTGCTAGAAGGGCATACGGGGCCCAGTAAGCCCAATATTAGGTAGCCTATTTTAGGTATTTATAACCGAATAAAAATTTGCACAGTAAATGAGGATGTTGTCAGCAACTTTCTGGTATCCCTGATTTCCCTGATCGGATTGGGGAAAACATCCGTAATGAATAATAAAAGGAATTTAAAGAAATGGAAAAAAAACACTTAAATATGGGTTTTTGGCACGGCCCGAACTAATCGCGTAAATGGGCAAAATGTATTTAATGGGCAAACATTATTTAAATCACGACATATATTTAATGTCATATTCAGAGACGGCATATTTAAATGGCCAAGTGATAACCTGTCAGGTTCTGTTTTCCCCCAAACGCATTGTCCTGTCTAGAAAACTAAAAAATTTGAGGAAACAACAAACTGTTTTACAGGCCCCGAATTCTTATGTGCCCAAGGGCTTCGGTATGGCGTTTTAACACTCGTTTAATTTATGGAAAGAAGCTATACAGCTTTACCCGAACGATTGAATAAAAATCACACTCACGAACAGAAAACACGCCATCTATTAGCCAATTTGAATACTAAAAACTTAAGAAAATTAAATAGTCGCACTTAAAACTATTTATCAGTAACGAATGATAATTTATCATACAATTTGTTACATCAATAACGTATACCATTCACAATTTCGAAATGTATCAGTATGCAGGACGCTAATACAATAAATTACATTTTGATCGATTCAATTTCCTTAATAAACATAGACAATATTCATATTTCTAAGCTACGCTATAACATCTATACAAACAGAGACAGACTGACCCACAGAGTATTGAATTCGTCCTCCACTACGATAACACTTCAAAATGGCAATAATTATCTTTATTTAAATAAAATTGGAGTCACCGCCTATCTTAATCGTAAAATAAAATTAAATAAATGCACTGGCCTTTAATAAAACTTAGCATTAATATAAATAAATCACATGAATCATTTAAATTAAGTTATACGCTAAATATAATAACACTGGCCTCACTCAATATCACAAGTTAATTTAAGTAATCCTTATCGTAGACAACTTTTAAATAGACTATATTTACAGAGTAAACAACTTGTTACTGATATGTAGTTACTGATAAGTATTGCTTTCAACTATTTGTATATGTACTATTCTAAACCTTCCTTTTTTTAACAAACCAAAGATCTACTCTATGGCAATAGTCCGTTGGAAACGAAAGCCAATAAAGAGGAACTAAATGCGCGAATGTTCGCCCAAGTCAAAACTATTTTCTATCTCCCGGTGTCATATTAATGACAACAAAACGGAATTAATTAAACTATTTAAACATTGTGTGCTCTAGTTGTTGTGTTTAAAAGCACCAAAATCGTTATTATTGATGTGCTTAAATTGGTCCACAACTCTCACTCACAAAACCATGCTGACTGAAATTTTTTTCTCTTTAAAGACAAAATTCTTGGAGTCACTTGGAGCCTCTACGGCTACACGTCACGCATACAGGAACCTTTTTGATAACTGACTTTCGTAGTCTGCTGACGCGGCGTGCTACATACAACCGCAAGATTCCACCACCATGTTTGGTAGAGTCTTCTGTGTGACGGTATTATTCGAGTCCATGTAGAGCAACTGCAGAGAGCTGAATGTGGTCGGCGCGCAGCAAGGCTTAAACTCCGCCCTCCTTTCGTTCGACACCGAGTAGAAATATTTCTGTAACAAAATAACGAACTAATTTAAAAATATGCAAATAAATTACTTAACTATCAAGAAGCCGCGAAAGGTTATCTATAAGACGTACTACGTACTACTTACGTACTACGCAGGGGATATTTTTTTTATTTTTTAATTATGTGCATTCCGAACTTGAGTGTTTAAAACATTATATAACCTCATGTACAGACAAACACTTTGATTATTTATCAACATATATTACACTATCATTACAGACACTTAAACTAATCGAGTGTGGCAAATTACAACACAAACAAAAAATAAATCCGAAATCATAAACGCAGAAACGAAAAATAAATCCAAAATCATAAACGCAGAAACGAAAAATAAAAAAATTATCAACGAACTTTTTTTTAAACTTACCCTGACGATTTTTTTATTTATTTGTCTTGTGAATTTTCCTGATATTTATTCAGCATTTGTCTTAAATAAAATAGAACCGACACAACATTCGGCCGATATGCTGGCTTGCGCACACGGCGTGGGCGCGCAGGTCCCTTTGCAGAAGTAGGCGTGGTAGCCCGAGGGTCTGATAATCCAGTCGTCCCAGCCCAGCTCCTTGAAGCTGACGTACAGCGGCTCGCGGCAGCACTCGCTGGTGGTGGTGCCGCACTCCAGGGTGCGGCCGCGCCGCCTTTTGCCGGCGTACTTGGTGTACAGCACCAGGAACGGCCGGTGCTTCTTGTGGAACGAGAGCGGTGCTCGGCGCAGCTGCGATTCATAGTTGAAGGTTAAAATAGAAACGGAGGATCAAGAGCCTATAGTACCGACTGGGACGTTTAAAGTAACAACCTACACGTATACCACTGTCTCCTCTGCACAGAGGGTATTAAGGCATAGTCAAATACGTGGCCCCACTAAGGATTGGCAGATTTCACAAATTTTCCAAATATTTTCTCGAAAATATGCAGGTTTCCTCACAATGTTTTCCTTCACAGCTGAGAACGTGATAAGTCGGCGCTTAAAACTAACAATTGGCCGGCACCGGGGATCGAACTCAGGTTGCTCGAGCATTTTGAATTAAAAGCGAAATGTAACTCTTCGTATTACCTGTGTAATATGTCAGTACAAGTAAACGTGGTAACCAACTAAATATACCTCAATATCCATGAAACAAATAATCTCAAATCATCCAAATTTATTCAACATGAACTTCCTAATTCCATTGACCAGCGTACCTGACAAGTTCTGCACGCGACGTGCAGCGTGTGCTGCCTCTCCATCCCCTCCAGCCAGACCCTGACGGCCCACGCGAGCTCCACGCGGACCCAGCCCTCTCCGATGTCCGTCTCCTTAATGGCGATGGGCTTAGTCTTCTTGAACTGCTGCTGGCTGTCCCAATGCGCCGCCTCAGATATCACGAACGTCTGGTTGTATTCGTCCAGTGGATCCGGCTCCTGAAAATCAAATTCTGTTGTAACCAGTCGTAAATTTCGCATATAAACATGGCAGTAAGCGATTAATGATTCCTAGATCCTCATCATCCTCCTGCCCTTACCCCACCTAGGTGTGCTCGGCAGAACACGTGAATCATGTTGTAACCGGTTTTGGATATGTTTTTACGACCGGCCGCCTGACGTTAACCCTCCTTGGGAGTCAAACACCCAGATCCGGAAGAAATCGCTGTGCGTCAAACAAATACTTTTCCCGTGTGGGGATCGAACCCACGACCCCCCACGCAAAGGGGGGGTCGTGAAGCTTGTTAGCTTAATAATGCCGCCACTGAGGCATCCTAGTCATCCTAGTCATATTGCTTCTTAAAGCAAACGTAATAAATGACAAAACATGTGACAAACGTCACCAGTAATTCTATCTAATATATAAAATTCTCGTGTCACGGTGTTTGTAATTGAACTCGTCCAAAACGGCTCGACCGATTTTCGTGAAATTTTGTGTGCATATCGGCCACTGTGGAGAATCGGACAACATATATTTTTATCCCCCTAAATGTGAAGGGTGGTCCACCCCAAACTTTTTTTTCTACCCTAAAAATAATTTATAGGGCAAAACAACGTTTGCCGGGTCAGCTAGTAAGTATATAACATAACTAGCAGCCCGCCCCGGCTTCGCACGGGAATTTAACAAAATTTTTAAAACTAAAAATTGTCATACACATAAAATATTCCGAATATTTCGTCTTTGGGGAGTAATTTTATGAATTTCTTCATCTTTTAATGAAATACCCTTGAAATTACGTCATGAAGATCGAAAGACCGCTGACCAGATGATGGTTCCGCTTTAATTACGGGACATTCGGGGTTACACGTAAAAGTGACAAATAAATCTGGCCTCCCATAGCTTCGGACATAAATCATCCCATCTTTGGTTTGTTGACCGATATTTGATGAGCCAATGTCTTAAAGATGGCAACTCATTTGCAACCCTACAGGTGTTACAAATGTCCATGGGCGACGGTTATTACTTAACATCCGGTGAACCGCCAGCTCGTTTGCCACTCTATCACATTAAAAAAAATCATGTTTTATTATCTTTATTCAATATAGAAGTATTACACTTACATATTGTCAAAAACACTACTACCGTCAACATTATCTATAAAAACGGCCAAAAAATTATGTCTGTTTTATGGGAGCCCCACTTATTTATATTTTTTTGTTTTTTGGTATTTTTTGTTATAGCGGCAACAGAAATTCATCGTTTGTGAAAATTTCAACTGTCTAACTATCACGATTCATGAGATACAGCATGGTGACATATGGACAGACATACGGACATACAGACGGACATCGGAGTCTTAGTAATAGGGTGCCGTTTTACCCTTTGGGTACGGAACCCCGATAAGTCCCAGTAATAATGCAATGGCTTAAAACAGGAAGCTTTAACCATCAACCTAAATGCATACAATTGCATGCTTGTCAGAGTTTTGTTACGCACAGTACCTTGCTTGTACAGACGTTTGTTATATTTCTCTCTAATCTCGTATACGTTGGGAACGCTCAGACCTCGATTCCCTAGTGTGAATTTGTATATTTATATTATTGTACTCTTCAAGCCACTGCAAACACTCTATTTGACTTTCTCCGACTTGTAAAACGATATTCAGTTTCCGGTAAAGATTCCTCATTATGACGTATTTTTAATGTCCTCGCCTGGGAACTATTTCCAGAAAGATGAGATCTTGATCTTTTGGGCATTTTAAAATGATTAAAAAAAATAAACTTCCTCAGTATTTAATAATCTGCTAACTGTTGAACAGGAATTACCAGTATAAATGTGATTGAAAACTTATAAGAACTACTAAGTCAGTCACTAAGCTGTTTGGATAGTTAAATTACAATATACTAACATTTTTAAACTTGCAATATCTAAGGAATGGAATGTTCGAATTTAATAATTAAAAAAGTTTTATAAAGATATTGAAACAGTCTTAAATATGAAGTAATTTATTTTTATAATGATTAAGACCGAGATAAAAATAAACAGCCTTTGTTAGCGGCGGTATTTCAATCAAAATTTTAAAATAAAAGAACACTTATTGTGGCAATTGTGGCATAACTATAATAGTTAGACATATGCTGTCGCGACACTTTTTGTAAATAATGATGTGTTCTGCAAATTCGTAGTACATTATTTTATTCTATCATCAATAGTTTTCGCAGCGCACGCGATGTAAAGAATATTCTAGGTAATTTTTGTACACCTTGAGTAACATTATTGCGAGTTTTAGTAAGGGTCCCTAATTTTTTGAAAATATTATATAGCCTATGTCAAGCAGGGATAATGTAGCTTCTCAACAGTGAAAGAATTTTTCAAATCGGTTAATTAGTTTCGGAGCCTATTCGATACATACAAACAATCAAATCTTTCCTCTTTATATAATAGAAGACAAGCGAATCATAAGTTACTAACATCCGTACAATATAAACGTTCATTGACGACAAAAACTTGCAGATTGAATAGGTTACTTACCGTGCCATTTTTACATTAATGTAACAAATTTCATAATGTTTCAATAATTAACGTGATAATGAAGCAGATGATATAAATTGATATTATATTATATAAATCGTTTAAGAAATCGGATCCGTTTGATGAAAGAAGTATAACTTTAGTTTCTTCTTCCGTTAAACATACTTATGACGCTTTTTGTATATCAAAGTTGTATTTTAATACTATATTATCCCATTACAAATAAAATATGACTTAATATTCACCTTGTAGAACCAAAGTTCCACGACGGTCACCTCTTCCGGTTCGACGTCAGGAGGCAGCTCGAATTGGAGGCAGATGAATGGATATCTCCCAGTTGTCAGACATTCGCCTGAAACGAAATTGTCAAACGTTAAGATAGAAGTCAACTTATCACAGTATTTTTCGTGGATTATAAAAACTCTCTTCCTCGTTAGAATAATTACATTTATTTGTAACGTGTAGATAAATTATCGAAAAACTTTTCGCCGCTGTCAATATAAAAAGTAGAACTGTCGACTTCTGGGTAACGACAATATATCCACACATTTTAAATTTCATATTAAGTGCAGAGATTAACACTAAAGATTAAGAGTACATTTATTTAATTCCTTCGTATATAATTAATTAATTAGTTGGATCAAAATATAAATGTAAACGTAAAATAGAATGTAAACGTTTAACTGTGATAGGCACACCATCCGGGTAAGTACCACGAACACACAGAAGACTGGCGTGTAGTGCAAGTGTTTTACTTCTGCGTTTCGTCTGGTGAGTGAGGCAACCTGAGACCACTTTATTGAAAGGTGGCAAACATTTGCAAGCCTACGGGTGTTGCAAATGTCAATGGTCGGCGGTTAGCACTTAACATCAGGTGAACCGCCAGCTCGTTTGCCACCTTCTCACATAAGTATTACAAAAAAATATATGTTATTTATTTATTATAAGTAATGAAAAAAAAGTTAATTTGGTTGGTAAACTACGCAAGCACAGACTACTATAATAAAAATCCATCTAACATCTGAAAGTATTTTTGTGTTAATCCTTTCCCAAAATTAGATAAATGTCTGTATTACTTTATACCACTGTGATATAAAGTGCAATCGTACTGATTCTCCAACATTTTATTTGATTAGCTCTCTTTACGTCACTATGAACTCCTATACTTTGAGAAATCTACTCATAGTTTCATTAGTTCTCGCTTTCAAATCTATATCTAGCAACGTAAGTTCAAATCCTGGTACCGGCAAAAATGAAATTGTTAATTTCACTGATTTATCACGTGATCATCGCCAAAGGGGAACATCGTAAGGGCATATGTATATTTACGAAATTAAGCCGAGCCTTTTTTGGAGATTCATATTATTTATCGTTAAATAAAAGTATCAATCCCGTGACCATTAGCATTGTGAAATGTTCGAAACGTCTGGAGTTCGGAATAAAAATGAAACGCGATAATATCCGTAAAATAGTTTTATTTACTCTATGTGTACTATTCCCGTAGATACAGGCAATTATTGCGTGCTATTATTTAGCTATTCAGAATTGGTTCCCACTTAGGCTTTGGGATATGGATGAGCAAGTAGATAGTTGTCTGGGGTTCTATAGAACAGTTTATCTGAAACATCTAAATGTAAGTGAATCTAAAATATCCGGTTACAACACTGGTTTATTTTGTCCTACAGTTGGAGTTCCAAGTACGGAGAAGAAAAGTAATGACCAAACGCTATTAACGGTGAGCGGTAGCTTGTAAAACTATTACTTGACTCCTGACCACGTGTAAAAAACGACAACTGCGCAATTCAATAGTAAATATACCGATATAGAGGTCGATACTAGAGGTCAGCACTATGACCTTATTAAAAACGGTTCTTAAAATACTTCTTTTAATTGATGTTTTTTTTTTTCATTTAACAATAATCACTGAACATTGCGATAATCCAATTTTCAACTCATGCTCTTGATTGACCCGCCATCACGTTTCGGACAAATTATTGTTCACTGATTGTCAGATGATAACAGTATGATGAATTACATTACGACACAAATTTGTTAGTGTAGATGCGTATTATTAATGTAAATGAATTATCATTTCATCATCATCATTATTTCAGCCTGTTCGAGTCCGCTGCTGAACATAGGTCTCCCCCACAGACCTTGTTTACCTCCGCCCATAGACATTTGCAACATCTAAGGGCTTGTACATGTGTTGGCAAACTTTTTTCAATGTGGCCCTACCACAATCTCGAAAACAGCTTTTAAAACATATTAATTCTAAGCTGTACATATACGCTTTATTTAGAATTTTATAACCATACTCAATGATATGTATAATTAACAGGTAGATATGAAACTAGCGCATCGAAACCGAGGCATTCAAATTACAACAATCGGTGTAGTTAGCAATGCAATTATTTAGACTGCTATTCTCCCCGTATCTTACGTTCTATATCTGTCACATTCAATTGTATATGTCATATAATGTAAATCGGAACAATTTTTAAAAATAATGTAATGTAGTGGCGTAATGTTAGTATGCGCTATGGTTTGCTTAACATGGTAATATATACGTACGGCGAGTTCAAAATAAAGATACGCTCGGATCAGAATGCAGTTGTGGTTTTATTTAATCGACCCTTCTTGAAGTTCACAATTTTCGAGGAGTTGTCAAGACAGGCGCACGCGCAGTGCTAAACAAGGTGCCGAGAATTGAGATTATAATTCTGTACGAAAAATACCAATCTCAAAAGTCATCCGCCTACTTTCAGTTTTGATCTTTGTTCCATCAACATAGGTCATTCGTAATCTTCGACAAAACACTCATTGGTACAAATGACCGACAAACGTCTAATTCAGGGCTACCCCGAAATGTTCTTATATCGACGGTGTACTTATACGTTTTTTTCCCCGATATTAAACTCTAATTGCTAGCACTAAACGGGCCGAGACCCGTCGTTAATTGGACCAAGGAGTGACCCTAGAGGTCACTCTAAATGATAACATGTAATTAATCGGCGCTTCGGCTAAACCGTTATCATTAACCGTTTCTAACTACGGAGCACCGTGTGCAGTTTACACAGGGTGCTCTTTCTATTTTTTTTAACAATCGCCATAACCATAACAGGGCATTCCATCAAAGGTCTTTTATAATCATAACGATATCCTCATACACAGCAGCATATCTGACATCAATTTTCGAATTGCAGATATAACTACATCGCCAGAAGATACATTCTTTTAAACATTGCCCTAACTTTAGGATAACATTATCCTGTGTTGTAAGGACGTTTTACAAACATAAATTTCACGTGGACAAACGCCCAGATGCGAAACAACTATTTGTGGGTCACACAAATAGTTTTGCCGTGTGGGAAACGATCCCACGACCCCCGACGCCGAAGCCAATAAATACCTTGGCAACTGCGCCACGGAGTCATCATAACATTCAAGTACAATTATGTTTAACCTGCACTTGGTAGAATATGATGATCGATGGTCAAAAGTTTTGCAGGTACTGTGGTACCAGTAACAGTGCGTAGGTAATTAAAAATGTTCTTTATCAATATTAACATAAAATAACTTTTCTCACATTAAAATAAATAAAAAAAGCTTTAATCTTTAAATGACGAAGAAACAATACACCTTCATTTTCTCTATGTGATATATGTAGTCCCAAGTTTGAACATTAAATGAATGAATCACATATTATGAAAAGACTAATAATAATCTATATCGCCTGCAAAACCTGAGATCTGTTTTACATCCGCTATTTATCAATGACTTTGAGTTTTGTTATTACAACATTAGAGACTTTAATTCCAAATAAAAAGGGGTAAAACACTTTCAGATAAATGTCCGATTGATTGATAGAAATCCGGGCTATCATATATTCATAATAATGTCTTTGATATACGTATACTCCTCATGAAAACAGTTTTATTTACCTCTGGGTAAGTCTTCATACGGTATTCAAATTAGGGAAAATATTACTTGAAATTATCCAAACAAGATACATAAAAAGAACAAATATAAACAAGCTTTAAGAGCAAATTAAAATAACAAAGCAGCAAAACTCCTTTAATAGGGCTTGAACATAAACAGACCTGAGAACCAAAGGCCGCAGTCTGTCTGTCTTACTATCATCAGGCAGGCTCATCCGGGGAAGTACCACGGTCTCGCGGAACACCGGCGTGAATTGAAGGAATTACTTTCGCGTTTCATGCATTGATTGAGGTAGCCGGGGCCCACTTATTAATGACTCACCAATCCGTCTGCCGTTGTAGGGCGCTCGCTTGCTCGCATTTCAACTTTTTCATATAAAAGGTATTCCGTATTACTTCCTAACTGTGGTACGACCACCCAACAGTCTTGCGTTGCACTTACCCCGACCTCACAGAATACCGACGTGAAGTAGAAGCATTATACTTCTGCGTTTCGTCCGGTGAGTGAGGTAGCCGTGGCCCACTTTATAAAAAGGTGGCAACGCATTTGCAACCCTACGGGTGTTGCAAATATCGATTGCTGGCGGTTATCACTTAACCTCAGGTGAACCGCCAGCTCATTGCCACCATCTCACTTAAAATATATGAAAAAATAACATATAAACAAAATTTTGTGTAAACTGCTTCCGTATAGTGTATTCAGTATATTAAGGTTTTAATATAAATACTGAAACATATAAAATTCAGAACGCTAAGTCGTGATATAACAAGAGTCGCGTGAAAAACACGCTCCGATATACCAAAATATACAAAGAACATCTCAATTTCAACTATAACAGCCGTCCAATTATCTTCATTATCGCAGAACAATTAATTTTTAATTAACGCAATCCCTGTGTTAAGCATTATCTTAGTTATTCTTTTCGTACACATGTCTCATGATATCGGGTAAAATTTCGTACCATCACAACTATTTTTCTGTTGTATACAAATTATTTAAAGAAATCATCGCCAAAACTATACACTTTGTACCTCAGCGTAGATAAAATGACAGTAATAATATTTCTATCTAACAGACTCAAATTTTAATTAAACCACAGGGTTACCGCAGGTCACTTTTTTCACTCATTTCATTTTAAACTCACGTGCCTAGTTGTCACGTTTACAACTGCAAGTACTCGTGACCAAATACTCGTGTTTTCATCTCCACTTAAAATTTTCAGACAACGGATCAACCTATCCAAGTAACGTGCTTCTGATGTTGTATTGATAGAATGTTTATCGATGCCATATTTTAAAACAGTAATGACCTAATTAATAGTTAAAAACAGAAAATAATGCAAAACGAAAAAGGAAGAAAACAAAGTTCTGTAACAAACGAAAACATTTACTTGATAAAATAAATATATAA